TGCCCACCAAGTCCCCAATCATTCGTTTACCAGACCCGTTTACCAGACCCTTCCTAGAATATGGTTTGGGTATTCTGGGGAACATCGAATAAACGGGCCGTGCTGATCCCAAGCGGGAAGGTCCTACAGCTCGGGGGTTTCGATTCTTCTTGACTCGCTCGACTCACCACCATTCTTCAATCTACCTGCTGCGTTAGTCTGCTTCATCAATCAGCCTTGGCCATACAGATTCGAGAGGACCCCGCGATCTGCTTTTCCATATTAGACGCATTAACTACCTTACCTACGCATTAACCCTGGCGTGAGGTCTGAGGCGAGCCTATCTGTTGGATACCTAACGGTAGCCGCCCTGCCGCCCTGCCGCCCCAACTACCTTACCAACCATTACCAACTATGTACACTACCCTAATAACGTGCAGATACCATATTTAGAAGTTTAAATATGGGCCTTCTACCGAACTGCAAGTTTAACGGAGGCTGGCGTGTTGCCCTAAAGCTTTTGGCTTCGCTCAGCCTCTCAGCCGTTCTCGCCGAACCTGCTATTCAAAACCTGAAGACCACCCTAGCGCTATCGGGGAGTTGGATCGCAAAGAAGCGGTGTCCGTTGTTGGCTAGGCAAAACGACCACTAGGTTAGGTTGTTACAGGTTCGAGCGTCTTTTTATCATTCAAGGCGCTACAGTCTATTGGATATCATGTCGCCGGGAGCAACGGCTGACATATTACCTACGTGTATATATATATATATATGCTTTGCCGCCTGCCGATGACTTTGTCGTGGTTTATATGAAAAAGTCGTCGAGGCCTGCACGACTGTGACCATACAATTTCTACCGTTCAATACCATTTGAATAGTTACCTACCTCTTATACCGGATATTATACGCGATCGCTAGTTCCTAAATATACTCAGACCTGGACTGACTTTGACCCCCAATCTTCCTCGGCCGCCAATTTAACTTGCAGTTTATATGATTTCGATACTGAAGAGTTTCGCTGACTGCAGTTTATTTGCGACTTTGCATCATTTACGGCATTTGGAAGCGTCTGCCGTATTTTTACATTGGACGTCGAACTCTCAAAAATCCCCACGAAGGAAAAGGATAGCGAATATAGATGCGTTAACACTTGTCTCGCAAAACTACCCAGCCCAGGTTTCGGTGAAGAAGTACCGGACCAGACCCGAGGCGTAACCACGACGGGAAGTTCGGTGGCCGAATTACCCCTGCGCTCGAAGTGTAACGCATTAAGAATTTGAACCTGGCCAGGCCTCCTTCAGTAATGGATACTACCACGTCGTCAAACTCGAGGCGATCCTGGTATGCAGCATTTGTCAATGTTTCCTTCTTTAAGCCGCGATCTTTAGTTCGAAAGCTTCAGAAAAGGAATTCACTCCCGGTTAAAACAAGCGATCGGAGGCCATTCAGCTCACCAACAATTCGCCTAGTCGACAACGGTGATGACCGCCAAAGCCTAGAGCGCCGTACCGAAGCCACCGACTCTAATTTTAGATCATTGTAAGTTCTTTAAATTCGATTTGATGCAAACCTCCGAATGGCTTGAGGGGTACCTGGTGAGGAGCATCAGCCCTTGTCTCAGGTTCCAAGCCATATACGAATATTTCAGTTTTTCAATTCCAGACACATCCTTTTTTACTGAACTTCATATTCTCAAAGTTGGGTTTCCTGGTCCATCTCGTGCCAAAGTCAAGGAGGATGTTCCATGCCATATTCCCCCTTTTTATGTAACTTGTCAAATGGCGTCATACGTTCCTTGGCTACTTTGGTGTTCCTGGGGTGATAGGTATGCCGCTCTCCCAAGGGAACACATCCATTCTGTCAGGGGTTAATTAATTTCCACCGCGATTTGCTACATAACGGTAGCCTCGCGCTACCAACAGCCCAGCGTGGCCGCCTATTACGAGTTTGAACTGGTTTCGGACTATTTCTAGATAGCCTAAGCCAAATATGGCCAGGAAGCCCAGACTATGTAGTAGTCGTTAACCAGTTGTTAACAAGTCAGGAAACGCTATGGACCTAGAGCTACAACTATGTCCAAGCTCCCAACCAAAAAGTTCGCCAGTTTAGTTGATGCAAGGCACACGCCCGGTCTTTTAATCTCTGTGGACCCATCGAAACCTGTCGATCTTCACCTCTGGTCTTTCAATGTCTATTCTTCTTAGTCGGGTCCCTTTCTTTCCTACTAATAACCTATTCTTTCTTGTAGAACCACGAGACACCGGAGATCACAAACTGAATCTGCAGTGGCATTTCAGTCAAGATCTGACGATAACGTGTTGGGACCCGTACCACTGCTAGACAGCTCCACAATGGGTCCTTCGTATGCTTCTCGCGACCCCGGATTTGCTCCTAATTCTTTTACGATACGAGACCACTCGGCAAAAGAATCGGTAACGAGGGCCGACCGCCCAAACTTCAACGCTATGGGACCAACGTATGCTCAGCAAGCCCAGCAACCAACAAAGTTACCGCCGGCAATGATGAGCAATTACGCGCAGATCGATATGCGGCCCGTTGTACCTAATCGTTCTAGGAGGACCTCAAGTAGCGGGTCTAGTGTTGCGAGCTCAGTCAGAACGAACGAGACTTTCGATGCTATTCTTGCGAGTCCAGCCAGCAGCAGGACGAGCCTCGAGTCTTGGAATTCGAGTCCACGAAGGATCGAGTACGGATGGCAGCGACCGGCGCCAATTAAACAATACAGGCAGAGGAGAGAAACAGGGGAACTCTTAGCTGCTCTCCCCGAAGAAGTTCTGGGACTTATTCTGGACGAACTAAAGAAACTGCATCTAAAGTCTGATAGTACAAGTTGTGCAACATGCATGATGAGGGATTTGTGCTCTGTCGCTGTATCAGGGCGGGGATTGTTGAAAGTCGCCCAGGTCGCACTGTGAGTTCTACAACAGCGGAGACTTAAACAGGAAGAACTAACAGATAGTCGAAGATACGAGGATATTCAATTGGTCGGGGCAGATTCGCAAATGCAAAGGAAGCGATACAAGCTAAACTTCGGTTCTCGTCTCGTACTACTTCGGCGGACATTAAGATCAAACCCGAAACTGGCGGCAATGGTTCATAGCCTGAAAGCTCCAGCTGTGACCCAAGGCGTTCCTCTTGACCTATACCAGAACTTAGTAGCTTCTGTTATCATGGAATGTCCCAACTTCGAACGATTAGTTGGATTTCACCAGAACCACGACTACTCGTTCAACCGTCTATTCCATGCTTTATCCACTAGGCGCAAGTTAGTAGAGATGCATTGGACCATTGAACCCTCTCAATTTCAGAGGAAGCGCCGTCTTTCAAACGCCGCGGCGCTACTGAATTCGGAGAATCCAAATTACAAAGAAGCCCCGGGAGACTTACCACATCAGCTAAGTGAGGACTTCTTAGAGCTTCACGCGGACTGGGAGCATTTGAAAACTCTGTCGATACACTGCCTCCCGGGCGCGACGCTTACACCTGTGTCTCTTATACCTGACATATTATCTCGCTTGCCAGCTCTTGAGAATCTTCATCTATCTCACTTACCTTTTACAGCTTTCAATGATGCGAATCTACTCTCATTGCCACCGCTGCAAACACTCACATTATCGCATCTTCCAGGTGTATCTAGCGAAGGTCTTTCCTCTTTTGTCAGGCGACCCTCGACTCGATCACTTAAAAAGCTTACTCTTCAACATGTGGATGTTGACTCGTTGCCGACGCTCAGCCAGATTCTCTCAAACCTTACGGTATTGGAGACATTTTCTCTAGTACAGAGTTCGCCGCCGATTATGCCGCCAAATGAGATGATATGGTTATTTCCCTATCTGGCGTCGCCGTCGTTGCGCAGGCTGCACTGGGATATTACGAGTAACCAATCATCCGCAAATAGGGCAGACTCGATACTTGCTAGGAGCATAGAAGCAAACGGCTTTCCATCGCTACGGAATTTGCGCGCGCCGAATGATCCCGAAGGAATTTTCCAGTCGCTTTGTAAGCCGATGGAGAAGATTGAGACGTCTAACGATAAGTTCCGCGGTCTTATTTCCAAGTGCACATCGCGACCTAGCCCTCCGGCAACTCCAACAACGCCAAGCACGCCGAAGACCCCGAGCAAGTCCCCGTTAGGTCTTAGTTTCCCAATGGAGGACCAGCTTTTCCCATCCAAGATGTCGAGCAACCTCTCGCAGTCTCGGACCGCGGCGCAGAGCAGACTAGAGGCGGCGCGGCAGACACCTCGCTTTTTCGTAAACGTGATAAACGAGGACGGGTCAGTGGCTGAAGACTATGGCCTTGCGGGTTTCATTGGCCAAGTAGAGTCAAAGATCTGGTACTGCGTGATGCCAGATGAGGGTGCGACAGACGAAAACGGCGGGCTCGTTGATATTTCTGACGTACTTGGCGACCAGGGTGAAAACCTAAAAGTTGAAGGCCGGGAGGGATGCAACGGGCGCTGGAACTCGTATAACGGAAACATTGCTGACAAGAAGGAACGCGAACGCTGGTTTCACACGGAACGCGGACGTTGGCGTCTTGTAACACTATGATGAGGAGTGGCAGCGGATGGACCCAGCTTAGGGTTTGGGTAAAAATGACTTTTTCTGATTCATTTACGCACATATATATACCATTTAAGGGAAACGGGAGGAAATTTATGTTCAAATACCTATATCTGAAATGTGGAGGAAGCAAGGGGAGAATGGGTACGACTCCCATGTTATTATATTTATGTCTATATATGATACCCCATCTATGTAATAATTGGAAAGTAGTTTTTATCGGTTGGAATTGTATATTGTATATTATGGCATTATGAAGAGAGTACATACAACCTCGATCCAAATATTGAAGTTTGAATGAGTTATGTAATAAAGGTACTCCCGGTTGTTAACACCGGCCGTTCGGCGCCGAGATTTCAATGTGCGGGATTATGGCCGAGGAAAACCGCAGCAAACGTCATTGTTCCGATTTTAAGCTTCTTTCTCCAAATCACTCCAACCCCAACTCTCAACTCTTTTTAGTCCTCGAAATAAAATCCAAGAACAAAATCCAAGAGTATATAAGTCTTGTTACCTACTACCGCGGTCGAGTTAGAAGATTAGCAGCAACTACTCCGTACTAATGCGATCCTCTTTACTACCTCGAAGACCGCTGCGGCGTGTCTGCGACGCCTGCAGACAGCAGCAGAGCCGCCATGCAACTTCAACAATAATCAATAATGCCGCTCCCGTCAGCTCCGCCATATCAAACAGGAGTTTCTCTTCTCGCCAACTCACCACAATAAGACCGACCCCATGCAGAACACACATCAGCAACAGCAACAGCAATAGCCTAAGTCTTCAAACAAGACGACACTTATCAAGCAGCGCGGCATCCTCACCCCGCGAACAAGAAGCATCAGCAACAGCAGAACAGGAAACCCCCAAGCCGGCCAGCACGGAACGAGAAGACGGAAAGAAGCTAATATCGCACTACGACCTCTTCCCGCAGACCCTGCCCCAAGGCCCCCCGCCAAAAGGCCGCTTCGCAATCGACGTGCGCGCGCTCCGCCGCGAATTCCTCACCCTGCAATCAACCGCGCACCCGGACCTAGCACCACCCGGCGCATCATCCAAGCGGCGCGCGGAAGCCGCCTCGGCACGCATCAACGACGCGTACCGAACGCTCGCGGACCCGCTCTCGCGGGCGCAATACCTGCTGCGGCAGCGGTGGGGCATCGACGCGGCGGGCGAAGAGACGGGGCGGGTCGAGGACCCGGAGCTGCTGATGCTGGTGCTGGAGACGCGGGAGGCGATCGAGGAGGCGGGGTCCGAGGAGGACTTGGAGCCGGTGAGGGCGGAGAACGAGGCTAGGATACGGGAGAGCGAGGATAGGCTCGCTAGGGCGTTTGAGGAGGACGATGGGGAGAGGGCGAGGCGGGAGGTTACTAGGCTGAGGTATTGGGTTAATATTAGGGATGCGGTTCATAATTGGGAGGAGGGGAAGCCGGTTGTGCTGCAGCATTGATGTACTTGGGTGGGTTAGGTTAGGCATTTGGTGGGATGGATAGATAGATAGATAGATATTTGGTTGTGGAGGTTGAGGAGGGTAGTTTGATGATTTGTACTGTTTCAAGAGAAGGGGGCTTTTCGATGAGGGTTTCTTTGCAGCGTAAGAAGCATCGTGGGTGTATTCAGACGGTTCTAGGGATGGTTCTTAACGTAAACTACCTAGGTACTGATAGACTTAGCCGGAATTGCATTCAGGGGTATTAGATGGCTATGACAGCCCAGGTCAGGTAGACAGGTCACTAAAAGAAAAACTTCTCTCCGTATGCTCCATCGTACATATCCGCCACTAAGACCAAGACAGGCTGTTAGGGATCGTGTTGCACGGAATGAGAGGTAGGGGCCCAGCGATCATTCATCTCTGTTGTGTGTAAAACCATAAGGGTACGAGTAAAAAGTAAGAACGCAACTATATTAAAGCACGAGGAGCTATAAGAACAAGGGTGAGATTCAGTTCCTTTCTCATAGACGAAAACGTGTTGATATACTTGGGAATATAATTCCAATACAATTCCTAGTTCCCGCCTCCGTTAGACATCCGCTTTCTAAGCTCCTCTGCTCGAGTCTAGCAGCTTGCCTCTTTCGAAGGGAATCCAGTCTCAATATACATGATATCGCACACCGAAAGCATAGCCCTTGTCTTAGCATTAGGATTATTCCTCAGCCAAACTTCAGTTTTCTGCTTCAGACTTAGCAAATTCTTTCTACTTAAACGACTATCCAATTCATCAAATTATGGTGTATAAACTACCTAATATATAGAACAATTATATTATAATGGTTAAATACGACCTGATTTTAATATGATCTAGTAAACCTCGCACCGCCCCGCCAAAGTGATTTCGCCTTTCGCAAAGCCGCCTGAGTAGGCAAGCCGGAGACTACCAATACCAGCAATAAAAGAGGCACAGCAGTTGCCACATATATCCAGACTCCAGTACCAGCGATCGAGAAACTATCACTCATGCTGAAGAGAGTTGCGACGAATGAAAGCGGAAGGAATACGATCGCGATGTATGTTAATCGTTTGACATATATCGCTTCAACAACTGATCTACGCGAGTCCAGAAGTTGAATGATAGACGCCATGATAGGTATCATCGCTTCAAGCGCATTCCCATTCTGCTCGATTTGGGCTATGATGTAGTCGATATCCCGTGTTAGAGCATCCCCGTCTTCGACAGGAAGGGAATTGTCATGATGCCTCTTAGAAGGGTTCAGCGATGATTCAACGAACCACTTTAAAACCTGAAGCTTGTGTAAGCTGTGCTGGCTCCTTCGCCGCCACCGATACAAATCAACAACGTCCTCGCTTTCGAAATTGCTTAGGCGATCTTGCACGCTCTGTGTCGAATATTCATACACTTTAATATACCGGCTCATAATGAGCGAATATGTCAGCCACTCGTCGATAATTAGTTTAATGGGACCTGTTGATAAGAAGAACAGGTTGTAAGTTGACGGTGACCTCGTCGACGCGCTTGCGCAATCCTCTAATAACCTTGCGACTTCGTCCATCATAGAAATAGGCCGCACATCCCTGAAACCTGGCGTTTTGCGGAATTCTGAGAATTTTGGCATCCCGCTGATGCTGCCTCTCCTATTCCGATACGGGACTTGGCGTGTTCTGAAGCTGGCTTCTTGCGCGTTATCCTTCGTCGAGAGACAGCCTATAACATCAGTTGATATAGAGTCCATCAACATTAGACCTAGTCAATATTAGCTATTGCCGAATAAGACGCGATGCTAGAGAAATATATCTAGAAGTTGAGAAAGAAGCTTAAGGAATTTAGCATATAGGTAAGGTAGGCTTAACCACATACAAACCCATCGATCACCGTCAAGTTTCTTATATAATATAGAAAAGCATGAGCGAATAAGTCCAACATATCTTCCAAAGAGCTCTGGGAGAGCCCGGCGAGGTCGCGTAGAACTGCCGCGAAGACGGAGATCGTGTGGGATACTAGGGTACGCATCCAGTTCTCCTAAATCGATTGGTCGTTGGTAGTGAAAGTTCGCGAAGTTCTGAGAGCCGATACGAGACGGAATAGACGTCATGAGAGATGATGGCGGGTCTTTCTCAATGTCTACGAATCTCCTCTCAATATGCCCACAGAAGAAATAAGGGTCGACATCCAGAATTCCACCCAGTGTCTCCATAACACTAGGACCGATGTCCTCTACAAGAAGACAAAGTCCGACGCAACTTGAGGACGTATCTTTTGCGATGAATCTTGATGCTGTATCGTTCAGCTCGTCGGTGCCTATCCTGGAGTAGCGTGTGGTTCCATCGTTACGAAACTCCAGGCTCGCGACATGGCATTCGACTTCCTCGACATCTGGCTGTTGGCAAGGACCTGTAAGAAACCCGGATAATGGTCTTAGATCTGGTCGGTCCCGAGATAAATATTTTACGTAGTCAAAGTATGACGGATCCATTTACAACTCGTTTGCGTACCAAGATCGACCGTGCTGCAAGCCAAGCTCTATCCTTCACATCCAATTACAGGGCCGTGGTGGAATGAAATCTAATATCATATCCAGTCATTATCCTCTTATCAGCTAGGTAACGGATAGAACTAGTCGAGGCGTTCTTGAATTCGGTTTGTTGGTTAGATTGGTACCCCTAACTATATAAATGACTGTTTTTCGAACGACAGCGGGAGAGCCTAAGATACTGAAATACACATCGAGCAAGACGAAGATACGATATTCAAAATGATTGAATCCTCCAACTAGGACTCTAAGCCAATGACGATTCAAGTTTCTTTGCACGCGAGGTTGCTAATGCATCAGATGAATAGTTAGCATGCAGTAGCTCATGTGCACAATACGCAGCCACAATAGTGGAACTATACTTTGACTTGCTATAGTTAACTACCTCATATGCGGTAAAGTGCCCTGCCAACCTACTACCTAGGTATCTAAGGACTTGGTTCTATATGGCAAGCCGAAAATTGCCTATACGGTAAGAGTAGTTTTCTAAACTCTGTAGTTTCGTCATTAACGTATCTAATACCCTGTTACGCAGATCGTAGAGAGCTCCATGTAAGCCGGGGTCTGATCACACCGAAAATAGCGTCTTTTCAGTATGAAATCCAATTGATACCGTTCCAATCGATCTCCTTAGGATTAAGTTTTCGGGACATAATTTATCATAGAAGTAGACACGACGAAATACGAGATTAGAGTAGATTGGCATTTCAGGTGCTTATGCTTGTATAAGTAAAAAGAGCCTCAACTTCGGACGTCCTCGCAATACAATTTCTCAACCCTAGCTTCATCCTTAACACTACGACTTACATAGAATTCTATCTCGATAGTTGGACAATTTACCACTTGTATGATATTTACCTACCTGTATTGAATACAAAGAAACAGGCAATGCTATAACAACTAGCAACCTCTTGTAAAGCTACATAGAAATTACCAGTAGTGCACATATTTCTTAGACAAAGCGTTAAAAGATGTCCGTCTCTAACGATGAAATAAACATATCATAATATGCAGTGCAACGCGAAATATAGAAAGATGAGAACATTGAACTGATGTTAAGACATTCCTTAGAAGAGCGAATCACTGTATACCGTTATGATGATAAATGCTTTATGCAACAAAACGCTATAGAATATATCTCCTCCAGGCTGCTATACCCCACCAACAACCGCCCAAGCTTCCCCACGTTCACCAGCAAGCAGCAGAGACCTAGGTACCAACTAACAACTACGTACCTAACAACTACAAGCCCCACCTTCCAGCTTACAATCACAACTTCACCTTCGACTTCCATCCTCATCTTAATTTCCTACTCGACGTGATACCCTCCCCATTTTCACATTTTCACATTTCCACATTTCCACAGACCAAACAACCTTAATCTTATGAACTAAACAGAAAAAACCCCCGAAGAAATAACCAAACCGACCATGGCAAGCCCAAAAGTCACCGAGGCACTAGCCCAGGTGCAGTCGTCTCCAGACCCAGCAACAGCCTTCGAAAGCCTCCTCACCAACTTCCAATCCATATCGACACCGCAGACCGCATCAAACGACTTCAAGGCCACCATAGAAGCCATCACCAGCAGCCAGATCTCCTCGCAACTCGGCGTCGTAGCCCAGCGCTCCCTCCTCAACTCATTCATCGCCGCCGCGCGAAAATTCAACAACGCAGACCTATGGGTCGACATCGCCAACCACGCTCTCGAGACCCTGTCCGCCGCTAGCGGCCAGGCTTCCGCATCGGTCTCTACTGCGACATCGGCAACTACGTCGGGTACCTTCGCCGACCAAGTCGCGGCCCTACTCGAGCTCGCCGCCGACGGCTACGAGACCAACGAAGATAACGTAGCAGCCGCCCGCGCGCTCTCCGAGATCCCCCTCGACAGTTCCCAGCGCCGGGTGTCGCCCGAAGACCGCGTTCGCGTATGGGTCCGCATCGTGCGCAACTACCTCGAAGTCGACGACACCACCGCCGCCGAGACCTACCTCAACAAGCTCAAGAACGTCATCTACCAGGTCACCGATCCGACTCTCAACCTACATTTCCGCCTTTCTCAGGCCCGCATCCAGGATGCCAAGCGCGAGTTCCTATCCGCCAGCCAGGCCTACCACGAGATAAGCCTATCACCCGCCATTTCCGAGGACGAGCGTCTGCACACTCTTAGCATGGCTGTGAAATGCGCCATCCTAGCCCCCGCAGGTCCCTTGCGCAGCCGCGCTCTCGGACGGCTATTCAAGGACGAGCGCTCGCCGAATCTACCTGAATTTGGCATGCTGGAGAAGATGTTCTTCGACCGACTCCTAGCAGCGAGCGAGGTGCAGAAGTTCGCCGAAGGCCTTGCGCCTCACCAGTTAGCAACCACGGCAGACGGGTCGACAGTGCTGGCCCGTGCCGTTGTAGAACACAACCTGCTAGGTGTCTCGCGACTATACAGCAATATCGGCTTCGACGCGCTAGGCGAGCTGCTAGGACTAGGTGCCGACCGTGCCGAGGACACAACCGCCAAGATGATCGAGCAGGGCCGCCTCGTGGGCCGAATCGACCAGATAGAAAGAATAATCTGGTTTGAGCGTGGCGAAGCTTCAGGCGAGAAGGGTAGCGGCCGCGCTGAAGTAACCGTGGGAAAGGAGATGCGCCGATGGGATGCCAACGTTCAGAGCCTAGCCGAAGAGGTCGAAAACGTGACGAACGCGCTGCAACGCGAGTTCCCCGAATTCGTCGCGGCGAATCTAGTAGTATAATAGAAGTATAAAGGGTAGACCAAATCGCAAGCAGAGGGGAAAAGAAAAGGGAAACGAAGCATTGTAGGGAATTCTTAGGTTTACGAGTATGGCGTTGCCGGATAATGACTAAATGCATAGATACGGCGTCAAGGACAGACACGTTGTAAATGGTACAGGGGGGTTCTAACAAGAATAATCCCTCCCCACGAAATAGAGTGTTAAGACGGATGAATTAAACGAAGATAAAGCTCCTTAATCTATTAATCTAGTCTAGATCTGTCTTCCGCACGACGATGTAGCCTTGGCTAAGTAGTCTCGGGTTCCCTCTTTCTTCCTCGTATATCATGTCCTCGATGGCTTGCTTCTGCCGCGCATCCATTGCGATGCTGCTAATATCCGTGTCTTGAGCTTCCGCAAGTCTTATGAGCTTGATAAGTTCTGCGGCGATCTTCTCTCCCATCAGGTTGTAGCCGGCTTCTGTCAGGTGCACGCCGTCCATCTGCCAGTACTTAGGTCTATCTGAGGGCTCCATGTTGTGGTATGGTATGACATCGTGTAAGTCAAAATAGAAGCTATAACATGCAATGTTAATATATATAATATCTTACGTCGGTTTAGGAACCGGTGGAAGCCCCTTCCCCGATGATAGGGGTGCAGAGGTATCGCTTCTCATATAAGATATTAGAGGAAAGCAGTATCACTTACAAGTTTGGCTTCCTGTATTCCTTAATGGCGTTGTTTACTTCATCGCGTCGTTCCTTAACGTCCTTATATCGGGCTCTGGTGTCTGGTATCGTCAAGGCGAGTACCTTGCTACCCTTCAGGAGTGGTATATCCCAGGTTCGCTTCAAGCCAGCGACGATATCCTCAACCGCACATCCCCAACCAAGGTCGCTACGTACGGGTAAAAGCTAAAGTTAGCTTAGGAGCTCCAGGCGGGTACTTGAATGGCTGAGATTATTTCCCTTTTAAGGGATATATATGGAGATGGATACATAGGTAATTTGAAAAGAAGTGAGCTAAAGGAAGGTAACCTACTTCGTTCCACCTAATACAATAGTCCAATCATAAAATTCCGATCTCTTTTTCCCTAATAGAATAAGTCAGTTTAAGTTGGCTAGTCGGTTGACTTGTTTTTATTATTTGGGGGGGGGGACAGATTTCAAATGAATATAGTGATTCATATGAGATATCGAAATGAGCAGGGAATGTATTTCGTAGAAAACGACCTTAAGTAGAAGTACTCACATGAATCCCGCATTCGATCGAGAAACGAGCCCCGCGTCACCAAGTCGCCCGGCACGCCTTCGACCTCATACTGAATCTCGCCATAGCCGTGACCTAGAAGCGCCTCCTCGAGCTTCTCAGTAAGTTTCTCCGCGTACGGCTTGCCCACCGGGAACCCAGACGTCAGGGAGTTGCCGAAGCAGAGAATGCGCAGCGTCCTCCTAGGCATTTGGCCGATAGAGTATCGAGGATACCAGAGGCGGATAACTGAATCGAAGGAGGAACTCGATTTTTGAAATGGATCAGATGGTCGAGAGTATATGAATGGTATGGGTAGGGGTCACGAGGTTGAACCGGAGCAGTGGATAAGGAGACCCAGTCTAAACGTCAACACATCCACGAATACTAAGTAGCAAGTGTGTGAGGTATCTACCTGAAATAAAGGTATACGAGCAAGTTCGGCAGATGCAAAAGAAATTAGTAAAATAAGAGCAAGAGCAGTCCTTTTTGAACCCAAGGTAAGAAGTTTAAGATTACAAAGTAACCCGTGAACCGAGAAGCATGAGCAAGGCTGAAATGTTGGAAAGCACGTGGAATGAGTCTAAAGGTTTCAATGTTGGCAATGCGACATGATGCGTCAGGCAACTGCCCCTCTCCTTCAATAGGTTTGGCCGGCAGCTGCGATAAGCTTCGGAGCTATGTGGGGCAGAGCTGGGGTCATGCCTGTTATGGTGGACGGTTAGGACATTTGTGCCAAAATCAAGAAAATGGGTCGGGGCTTTCCAAAAAGGGTAATATAGCAGGTGCACAGTATACTATGCGGGGTATATACAAAGTAAAATATATATTTTTTTCATTATTTTATATTAGATAAGCATAATTCGGCCAATCAGATTAAAAGATTTGATTGTCAATTTAAATCTTCAATTACTTTATACACACAACATATTCAAATAACTTTTCAAAGACAACAATCTAAACGTTATAATTGGTATCATTTTATAGCTTTAATTGATGCGAAAACAATGATTTAAGTTGCATTTGAATCGGCCTTTTGGCTGTTATGTTATAGTAGAATCAAATAGCGCTTGTCTGGAGAGGCAAGCACGTGATACCCTTTAAAAGCATCTTTGATGAAGTTATTCCAAACAGATTCCAGATACTTTAATAGCAATATAATACTTAATACACATCGCATTAACATGCAGTTTGGTCCATTATTTTCGCATCAATTAAGGCTATAAAATGATACCAATTATAACGTTTGAATTGTTATATTCGAAAAGTTATTTGAATGTGTTGTGTGTATAAGGCAATTAAAGATTGAATTGATAATGGAATCCTTTAATGAGGATGGCCCGGATAATAAGGCCTGTATAGCTACATATATATAATTACATAGCTTTTTAATATCTTTACCAATTCTAGTTTGAATTACATGCAACTGGAGCCGTAATTTTTGTTATTTTTTAATTGAAATAGTATTGTTTTTTAAAAAAGACTTAAATAAATATTCGTTACGTTATTATAGTATAAGTTGAAAAAAATGTATGTATTACTTTGTAAATTGTGTACACAGGGCAGATAGTCGAGTTTATACTGTACCCCTAGCGTTACTATTACCGTATTAGACATAGTGCCACCGACTTTTTCGATTTTGGCACAAATGTCCTAACCGTCCACCATACCTGTATAGCGTCAGCCCTGCGAAGCTAAATGATTGAACCCTTATTATTCCACATGTCTCATCCATTGCTACATATGCTGGTTGATTGGCGTTTTTATATTACATTCTATACATCGCATGCATCATTGATAACGGAGACCTCAGCAGATAGAAAAGTAGCTTGAATATACATAAAGGACCCATCTAGCACAGAGGCTCCTATCCGGAATTTTCACTCTATACAAATCTGAAGAACTACAAATCGTATAATCGTATAATCGTATTCGACCACTTGTAAAAAAAAAAAAAAAAAACCACTAGAGTCGTTCCCAGACTCCTTCATGACTTCCAAAACAGTCAACGAGAAAGTTTGATCCACCATACTTTCGTCATGGCAGAAATTGAACGGGGGAAAGGCCTACAAACAGCTTATAGTACCAATAGAGTTGAAACTTGAAACTCTACTGTTTACGGCGGTTAGACAAAGCTTGCCCGAGTGGCCGAATCGGATATAGTCCGGGACGTGGTTAAGGGTATTTGTTGGAAAATGGTGTTGGTATATCTCGAACCTACGCGCTTGTATATAGTTAGCGTTTACGAGCGTTGTAATAGGTCCTACGAGTGAAGTAATAAGTCGACCTTCAAGTTGTCAAGAGTTTGAAATGCGATAATACAAAAGAGTAAGGAATCAAAGTGAATTCACAATCAAGTCAAACAATCAGCTGGTAACAGAGTGTACCGTAAACTATCATTCATATACACTAAGAATAACCACGCTCCGATAACTTCAGTAATCCATTTGATGCTGAAGATGCAATAACCTCCTCTTGGAGATAAGACAAGAGTTCAAAAGGACCAAAATATTTACATAATAACAAATGAGCACCGGGGACTATGCTATGCCTTTCTACCATGTGACTCGTCAATTGCCAACCCGATTGAGTAAAAGGAAAAAAAAATACTGATGAGTACTCGCTTGCGCGTTCAAGAACATTCATTCTTGTAAATATTTCGACGTAAAGAAACTTCGAGCCAAGGAATTAGTGAACGCGTCCAATAATGCTATCCGGTGCGTTTTAATGTTATGTCATATGTCGGTTAAAATGCGTGTCCGTGGTAAGGAGGATTTTGTCCTCGTCCGCCAGGCGGTGGACTCTGTGCTGAGAATGGGGCGTATGGTTGCATGCCCTGTTGGTTTACGCGAGGATCGAAGTTCCCAGGGGGTGGAGACCTAAACCCCGGCCCAGGCGACGACCAGCCGCCTTCTTGCTCGTAAGACATTGGACTTGGACCTCCATAGCTACCGTAGCTAGGAGTCTGAGGTACATTACCGCGACCCATATTAGAGTACATTCCAGCAGGCGGTGGCATACTGGGCGATGGTGTACGTTGTTGATACTGCTGAAAAGCTTGTTGTTGACGCTGATTAATTGCGTATTGTGCAGCCTGGCTACTCCAACCCTGTTTCATTTGTTGTTTTTCTCGCTCTCTTGCCTCAATTGCACCTACTAGACCTCCACTGGTTTGTGGTGCATTCTTATTACCTGCCATGGTAATTAAAGGAGAACCTGTCACACGCGCCACATGTTCTTGCTCCCGAGCTGACAGATGAGAGTCGCTGACCCCTTGTCCGCCGAGAACAGCACCGGCACCTCTGGACCCGGGGCGTTGGAGTAGCTCGTTTGGCCCCCGAGAGCTTGGACGCTGCAATAGATCTTGCGAATTATTTCGAGAGTGTGTACCAATATAATCCGAGCCTTGACTACGGTTCAATGGAGGCGTTGGCGTACCCGTTCTCAAACCCCCAAGACTCATCCCCGATGAATGCCTCTGGTGTACATATTGCGGCGTAACTGCAGCAGCAACCGCTCGTTGCTGGACGAACTCTTCGGGTGACAGGGCAGGTCCCGCGGGACCAGACCCAGGAGTTGCAGGTTGCCAGATCATGCTACGTCGCAATGTATCCTCTGACTCTTGACGGTTATGTCCCATCTCAGCTCCGGGTGATCTACGTGGAGGTACGTGAGCCGGCGAATTAGAGCGAGGTCCGGGCGAGAATGACCTCGGCTGCGGGTTGGTAGGTGTTGGTGTCTTCGCGACAGGTGCTGTTCCATAATTCAAAGTCGGACCAAAATCTATGTCCGGAATATCTAGATTCGCGCCACGAGCTTGTGTTGGAGAATCATCTGCGTTTCCAATTGTTCGAAGGACACCTGCTCGTGGGCGCTCCCGGTCACTGGAGGTTGCCGTATCCGTCGAAGGGCGAGAACTGGCGTAGTCGGGGCTATCGGTAGATGCCGAATCATCATAACGGCTACTCGATTGGCTTTTGCTAGTATCAACGCGATGTACGCCAAAATTTGGAGGGGCCCGAGGTGTCGTATTAAGAGGACGGACCTGGCCTAGTCCAGCCGCATCGATGCGATTGCCCGTCAGACTTCCGCTGCTCGTGGATGGGGACTGTGGTGTTACATCGTCGCGAATATGTCGGTGTTGTAGACTGTCGCTACGAGTTGGGAGTGGTTTTCTGTAAATAGGGGGAGAAGTGTTTAGCGGTGGCAAAGGCTGGCGGTTAGCTGGAGATCTTGGTCTATCAGGGCCGCCAGGGCCTGGTGGGCCTTGCGGTGGATAGCCGCGGTACATGTTCTCCTGTGGGTAGTTTGGTCGGCCTCGCCCTGGAGTCATATTCGGTGGGGGACGGCCGCGGCCTCTTCCGGGAGGGGCCATACCATAAGGTGGTCCTCGTTGACCTGGAGTCATGTTACCTGGCGGCGGGCCATATCCAGGTTGTGGTGGTCGATTACCAGACGCAGTACCGGGTCGAGAGGTAGGTGTTTTTGGCCGGTTACTGGGACCTGGGTTGGGACCTGGGCTGGGACCTCGTGGGCCAGGGGGTGGAGGACTCATAGTTTGGTTTAGCGGCGATCTCGATCTCATTCCGGAGGGGTCCATTTGAGGCGGTGGTAGCCCAGGACCAGGAGACTGTGGCTGGTTTTCCCTTAAAACTTCACGAGATCCGGCATTAGCAGATATCCCAGCGTTGTTGACGTGATCATGTACCGGAAGTTGTTGACCACGTTGGTCGGGTCCCCGCGAAGGTGGTCCACGGCGCTCCTCGTTGCTCCTTTCATTGTCTCGTGGGTCCTCGCCTACAGGGACCCCGCCAGCTGTTGCAAGCTGCGCGAGGGTAGTCATGGATAATCGGCTATTAGCGCGACGCATCTCGGGTGAATGGTAAGGACGGGTCGTAGGAACATGGCCAGGCGCGTGGGAGAAACTAGGGGGTTGGGACACCGGCTCCGGGGTTGGCATCCTCCGGATTCCTTCGAAATCGCGGATCGGAGGGTCTGTTCGATCTTCGTCGGAACTTATACGCTCCGGAGTCGCTGCTAAATCATTTATGAACGCACGTCCTGCATTAGGGCCCCTCATGGATGAGGCTGGGCTCGACGCATATGAGCTATCCTGGTGAGAGGGCGGCTGAGGAGGCATAGCGCCAGGGATATTGGAGTCTGACGCATTACGGGCATGGCCGGACTTATCTCCAATCACTGCAGAGGCGTCGGGAATAGGAGGGGCCGGATCATTTTTGGGGGGAGGTTGACTACCGAGCGACATAGATCGAGATGTACGAACGGGAGCCGGTGCTTCGTCAGCAAAACCAACACGAGGCTTCGAGGAGCCCCCAGCAGCGGGGCCAAAACTAAGGCGCTTGCTATTGCCGTTGGTCTGTCCCGAACTGGAACTCGAGCTTGCCCCATCCTCGGCGCTATTCATGCGGATGCCGGTTAGCTCCTTGAGCTTCTTCCTCCATTCCCGTTCGTTCCAGCTTGAACTACCTTCAGTTAAGATTAGTCCTGACACATCCATTAATTCTAAGTAGCCATAGCGCTTGTGCTTCGGCATGGCGAACATAAGGGACCTCGAATCGAGGACACTTGCAACCAATCTCCCTGGGCGGCCATAGAGGCCGAAGGTGTCCCAGGTAGGAAATAAAAATCTGAGCATCATCTCGAAGCCGCTGACCGCCGGATGCACTTCAGGCATAATAAACACGAAACCTTCGCTCTCAGTAGGCGGGTCCGAGTGAATAGTGATATTTCCCTCAATCTTGACCAGTGTCGAAGCATCAATTAGTGACTTGGCTTGGGGATATAGGGCATACGCCGAATAGGCGTCGCTGATGGTTGCTATGGGTAGCATTTTCTTGTGCTTCTTCCCCTCCTTCCTGCTGTCATAAAATTTTATATCTCCCTTGAGTAGTGGAGTATGTCGATCATATGGGGACTTTTTCTTATGCTCTTTCTGAGCTTTTATAAATTCCTTCTCGTCCGGCGGTGAAATAACACACCAGCAGCGTCTCCACGGAACGCCAGCTCCAAATCGGACTCTGACCCATTGGTCCATTGGCGTACGTGATCTTTCCATAATGACACCGATATTATTCAACGTCTTGCCCTTGCCCGCAATCAACGCACCCGTATAGGCTTCTTGGAGAGTCGAATGCTCGAACATGGCAAGTCGGATACCAGCAGTCCATTGTATGAGGGAATGTCGAGAGTTGAAGTGCAAAAGATAACGGTTCCGTCCCGCTGTCGATATACTGAGAATATTTTGCAACGGCTGCTCATCATTCGACCTTGTAGGTAGGGACTCGATCTAGGTATGTGTTAGCTCACAATCCTGTCTTAAAAAAGTATGGTCCTGTATGTTTCTTTTCGATCAGCCAGTGTTCATACCATCTTAATAGAAGCATCCGTCAAGTTTAGGAACTTTGGCAGAACCTCCCCATCTTCCCCCGCAGCATCCAATTCAGCCGCATCCCACAAGGATAATACGGTTCCCACCAACTGTGCAAAGCATTCGGTCCAGGTGCGATCGGGGTTCGGTTTCCCGTCTGAAAGCTGTTAGGGTCCTGGTCCTGAAGGGTTCAATTGGTCATAATGCGAACTCACGAGTATTCTGATCGTCAAGTTTTAGGAAATAACCCTCTTGGTATAGTTTATTCGCATGACTATTGAGGAAAGTAAAGATAGGCTGGAGTTCGGGAATCGTATCTTCGTTAACATCCATGAGGGGCGGTTGGTAGGTTTGCACCATAGACAACGGCCTAGAGGAAGTTCGACTTGTAGTTCTGCGATGCGTCTCACTTGATATGGGAGTTATATCTATTGGGGAGCTATCATGGTCAACCCGGGCGGGAGATGCTGGAATAGGCGTCGAAACAGCGCGAGCTCGAGTTCGTGTGCGAAAACTACCAACGTTGATGATATGATGGCTTTTAGTGGTAGGGGCCGAATTCAGCTTGCCGTTGGATGTGGGGGCCTGGTCGTTCGGAGGTGACGACAAAGGTGTGGGAGAGGCGCTATGTACGTTTTTCGGGTCACCGTTGTGCTGGAAATGGTGAGAGCCGGAGAACTGGGACATAAACGAGAGCACTTAAAGTTTAGAAGGGACTAGTTAGCATTAAAGGGACTTGCATAAACGGGTTTAATGGGTTTAATGCATGAATTGTGAAGAGGAAAAGGGAAATAGTGGGACAATAAAAAAAATGATGTATGCGTATGGCGGGGATGTAAAGTTAAGTGAATTGAATATAATAGAATATAATATAATATAATAATATAAGAATAGCGTGTGCGCAACTGTCAAACTTTAAATCGTAGAACGTTTAAAGCTTGATCGCATTCACAGCAACCACGCATCAACTTGCATGTAGCTGTATGTAAGGATAATGAGTGGATGAGTGGATAATTATTGTACATAGTATGACAACCTATGTTAGATGGAGACCCGGGAATACGGCACCAACTTTCGGTGTGCAATAGCCGGGTCCAGGGAGTAGGGTGTTTTCTTTGTCATGGCATGGAATGCGACAATTGACGCTCGATTGACACTCGATATATTCCCACCAACTAATATCTCGACGACTTGTCGGATGTATGTATGAGGGTGTGGGAATAGGCGTCATACATGGTGTACGTGTAGGTATGTTTAACATAGATATGCTTGTGCAAGGTATGATGTATGATGGATGGAGGGATGTTGCCTCACAATGCAACTTGGAGGATTTGAGAGGTAATATCTGATTCTGATCAAAAGACAAGAAAAGGAAGACGGAAGTTATGATGAAGAAAAAAAAGAAAATACTAACCACGATTCCGAGCCATCTTAATCTCCAGCTAAGCAAACCCAGCAGCTCCAAAGCAAATGGAATATCCAAACAAAATCCTATTCCATCAGATGAGTTGGCTTAAACGTTTGTTCTCTCTTTCGACTACCTGGAGATGAAGGACAAGGGTGGCCCACAAAGGGACGAGTCGGAGGATAATGTCGATTTAGTGCCGAGTCGGTTTATCGGTATTAGGAAGATATTCAAGGTACTTAAAATGGTATGTATCACGGTTTGTCGCACGTAGATCGAAAAGCTGTAAGGGAAAAATAAATCTAGATTATAGTCGAAGATGCAAATGACCAAAAACCCAAAAAATAGTCGAATTCCAAACCGTCTCGTAATAGGTGGGCGGGAACGCTGGTTTTGTAGCTCGGGTTCTTAAGTGTCTCCACGCGATACGAATTTGTGGAATGCGAGGGAAGGGTACAGGCTCGGATCCCCGTATATGATGTACGAGTGGTTATCCTGTAACAAAGATCAGGGCGGCCCGGTCTTGCCTTTCATGTGATGCTTCTCCAGATAAGCTCTATCTTGTTCAGTGAAGAAAAAAGCAAATTCAAGCTCAAGTGTAATTATGAAGCTTTATTAAATCAGCCTAAGGGTTAGTATAAGTTGCCAGCCGCTGTCTACCGAGACGTTTCCGAAGTACGGAAGCGCCGGACAGTTTGATATAATTTTATCCTAGCAAGAGTCGATATGCGCGCTCGTCTAGATCCTATATTTGGAGCTAAGCGTTCGTCTTTCGATCTTTTGGTCTTCGGAATTTGATGAACGGCAACAGAACTTTTCCTGATTAAAGGTTGTTTTACACGACAAGATGCAAACGAATATGTAGATGGATCGGGCGAGTTTACTTCTGAAGGAAAGAAACAGGCTACATTAGGTAGGTTCGTATCTATCTACACACACAATAACAAGGTGGTATGTTAGCATGGAAGGAGAAAAAAAAGGCTGATGACAAAAAGGATGACGGAGCAGGGGCATACGTCAGTCCGAAAAGACGATAGCGTGCTCGTTAACAATAGCTGGCAACTGGTAATAGTAACTTCATATTAATGGGTACTCTCGCTCTAGTTCGGAGATACCGTGTCATGTTCTAGTGGCTACAAATATAGCTTAGCCTACCAGCTACTGCGAAGCTACCATAGACTATTATAACATACATACACATGAGTAGCAGTCTTGGTTGCAGCTTGCAAGGCGTCAGCGTATATGCATACATACGTAAATACGTCCCTTGGGGTCGTACTATGGTGTATTGTACATACATGTATGTAGGCATGTATATACGCTAGACATGGATGTGTAGATCAATCCTCCAGTTTGCAGCAAGCAGCTTTGCTAACAACAATTGCTGACGATTAGCCGACCTGACGCCCCTGTTTTTGATATGAATGCCGGGTCCTACTGTAGGTCTAGGAAGATCAACCTAATTTAGAGCCTAAGATCACTAAGATCATAAGAGGCATCCTTGAATTCCATCATAGCATACATGGCTTTGTGCCGATAGCCAGAGTCTTCAACAAGTAGTAAGCGGGTATTAAAGGAACCACGCTACCATGGTCCTTACCGACGAAAACGATTGGATAGAAAGGGGCGTCGGGTGAGACGGATACTTCCATATGTGGATGCGTATGACCAGCCTCTATATTTTCCTTATTTTTCGGATCCAAAGCTCAGTCACCCCAACCCAAGGATGGGATATATGTGTCTTGGTGGACCTGACGTGGCATGTGTAAAAGCAGGAGAAAATCCATAGCCTTGGCCTATTTAGGATCCGCACGCGCCTAAGTTGTAATCGCAGCGGCTCGACTTTGCAAGACAGAGCCAGTCACGAAACGTGCCTTGGGTACAGCAGCTGACACAGCAAGCGCTTAGTTACCTACCAGCCTTCTATCCGTTCATCCAGTCGAGACGCTCAGCCTTTGCTCTAGAAGGTGAAATTCCGACATGCGAGTAGGTATATGACTCTCACTCTGCGGACGTACAATATACGGACTATGCCTCCGAAGAAGTTCGTCGTTTCATTTGACAGGGAAGTTTTGAGCAGGTTCAAGCTATGCTGTCGAAATCGTACTGCGCCGCCAAAATACCGCGTACAGCCAGCTGCTTTGCATCCCACAACCCAGACACCCTAGTGACAGATCACAGGGACCCCAAGTTCTATCGGCCTTTATTTCGACCGCCGAGATCTAGTTTGTCTAGACGTCCATTTCCCCGGCATAAAGTGGTGGGCACAGCATCGTCCACTTCCACGCCCAGGTATTTATTCGTATTCATTCGTTTACTGGTAGGCGAGCGGCCTCACGTACATAAGCCACTGACGCGCGTTTTTTTGAGTGACCCTTCTCGATCCTTTCCTTTAATGAAGTAGGATATTTCAAATAGGTATGATGAGTCAACGGCTTGCGAGATGGATGCATGAAAGGAATAGTGATAAGCAAGTAGTACAACAGCAAGACTATCTGACAGGTACACTAATTTCCATTAGTTAAAACAAATTTCTACGTCATAGTTACTGGCTGGTGCATTTGTTAGAAGCAGAACTAAACTCTAGTGCAAGAACTCCAAAGGTCTAGAAGCAAAACAAACGTCTAATGCTGATAGAAGATAAATATGTAAGTACCTAAATGTTGAATTAAAGTTGTGGTTAGAAACCACCAAAGCTGACGAGCTATTAAATTAAATATCTCTTAAACTGGAATAAGTCCGCAAAAGAGATTGAATTTCTTTCAAGTTAATCTAACATTTTCATTCCAAATCACCGCCTCAAGCACTTTACACTATTGCTCTTCACTGTAATAAATCAGAAACTCTTGTCAGGACCGAGTAAACGATCAAACTATGATCGCTACTTTCATCGTACTTAATCTATTAGTTTTATTGAACAGATCTGCAGTTTCTACCCCTCCATCTGCCAAGACCATAATTGCAAAGCCAGGCTTGTAGCAAATGAGCATATTATACGGATGTATTACGCGGATGCGAAATATCAGTTTGGACTTATTCAATACTCCATTTATTCTATCAGATATTTTAAATATTTAATATATATGCGCCTCAAGTCATCTTAAGACGGCGACTCGATCCAAGGGTTACATTTATAAGTAATCCCGATATTTGATAGTAAGCAAATGAATGCAATAAGTTCATCTTTCGCGTAACCGAAAATGATGTCATCGTAATCCTAATAAAAGTAACGGCGCGATATACCGGGTCACAAACTCTCGGATTTTATTACCTACGTAGACCTATTAAATTCTCGCGCAAAAAAGTAACTCTAAAGTTAATTATATGTAACGGTTAACCAAGGATGGCACTTTGCGATAAGCAAAGCTAAACTTTCTTATCAAGACGTCGTCGACGTTTAATAGAATAGCGCGTGTTTATACGTGGTATCTATCAATCAAATCACACTTTTGGCTGCCAACCCAAGCGCCCTCAAGGTCTAAAGCTAGACCTCGTTCGTGGGCATGAGAAGGTTGGCTCCCTCTTTTTTGTTGGCCTCTTATCCTGGTCCAACGCGACGGACATTGTCTTCTATCCGATTAACACGATGGCATCCCCAACATACTGCGGGTGGTAAACGCCATTCTTCCACAACTCCCGAAACATCCGGTAGCATCACGACGCCTCTTCCCGACTCCGAATTAAACTTACCTTTTCGCTTCGAGACCGGGTTTGCGCTATTCGCGAAACGCGCTCCGAGACCCTTTCCCCCACCGTTTCTCTCCCCTCCGTCGGGCTCATTTTCGGACCCTCTTAGTACTCACCACCAGAGTCGTGATAAGCGAGCCTTCGTGGATGGCGAGGTCATCCGCGGATGGACAAACGGCGACGATGCAGTTTATGCTAGTGACCATTTCATTTGCGCCAACGATGGGGTTGGCGCCTGGTCAGCTCGGCCGAGAGGCCATGCAGGGTACTTGTCCCACGGTCGTATAAGCCTTATAAATGGCAGTCCGCAATTAACAATGGTTACAGCTTATGGTCGAGGTTAATATTACACTTCTGGGTGGCGGCAATGGAAGAAGATATCGCAAAGCCGCGATCCCCCGACCAATCATACCGCCCAGACCCTATGCATTATCTGCAGCAGGCATATGAGCGGACAATCGAAGCCACTTCGGGACCCAATGATTGTTTAGGAACCACCACGGCGGCCGGGGCTCAGCTCTTCTACAAGGCTGACAGCAGTAACTCAGCATCGTCTGTATCACCACTCTTATATGTAACAAATCTTGGCGATTCACAGGTCATGGTAGTACGGCCGAAAAGTCGGGAAATGGTATACAAATCGACAGAGCAGTGGCATTGGTTCGACTGCCCGAGACAGCTCGGAACAAATAGTCCAGACACTCCAAACAACAACGCCGTTGTAGATGTGGTGGAGATTATTGAAGGCGACGTCGTATTAGCTATGACGGACGGCGTTATTGACAATCTCTGGTCACATGAAATTGTCGAAAATGTATCCCAGAGCGTCAAGCGTTGGGAGGCAGGAGAAGGGGGCCAAGCTAGCGGCCCCCGTAAAGACGGCGCAGGTGGTGGCATGACATTCGTCGCCCAAGAACTTGTTAATGCTGCAAAAGAAATTGCATTAGACCCATTTGCAGAAAGTCCCTTCATGGAACACGCCATCGAGGAAGGGCTAGCCAGTGCAGGAGGTGAGTGTAGCATGAGTGTCAACCATCTTTACTAGATTATACATGCTGACACGCACAGGAAAACCTGACGATATTAGCGTTGTAGCAGCATTGTGTCAGCGGAACACGGCATCATGACACGCCTAATATATAATATAACTAATACATCCATTGATAGGACATACTACATCTGTTGTACTACTGCCGTTGGGGTTAACTCTGACTATATCCAGCTATACAAAACACCGGGGTAGTATCGACATTATTTGGTCTGGTTGTCACCTGGACGATTAGACATGGGATTATAGACGATTTACACTAGATGAGGTTGGGTTTGCGGTATCAAGACGGCGTTGGTGGTGGTCTATTAGCAGGTCAGTGGTTGGAAGCTTAGGACATTTTGTACCTAGGTACCTAAATTAATATCTTTATAGCGGGGCATCTTCACATTCTGTAGCTGTAGATGTTACCCACATTTTTAAGTTGGCGATAAGAATGTTAAAAGCCTTATCATTATCTTTATCTGCAATGCAGAATTCGAGTCCAATAATTTTGAAATCGAGATGTTCACGATCTCATACACCGAACTCACTTTCCCTTAATTAAGCAAAATGCCTCGAGCCAAAAGATCGAAGCAATATCGGAAGCTCATGGAGCAATTCTCCATGAGCTTCGGGTTTCGAGTACCGTATCAAGTCATTGTAGACGCCGACTTTATTGCAGAAGCAAACAAATGCAAGATGGATGTGATGCGCCGGTTAGAAGACACTCTACACGGCGAAGTCAAACCTAGTATGTTCTTATATCCATATCACTTCGTTTTATTTCTCTACTGACTAGCATCGGGTAGTGATTACTCAATGTTCAATGCGACATCTTTATGGACGGAAATCAGAACCTGGTGTGGAAGCAGCCATAGAACAAGCAAAGAATCATTTCGAGCGACGACGATGCGGTCACCATCCGGACGATTACCCAGAGCCACTAAGCACACTTGAATGCCTACAATCTGTTGTCGATCCGAAAAACAATGGAGTGAACAAGCACCGCTACGTTTGCGCCATCAATGATGATACTGTCAGGGCAAAGCTACGACAAGTAGCAGGGACGCCGATGATATTCATTAGGAGATCCGTTATGATTATGGAGCCAATGGCAACAGTCAGCGTGAAGATAAGATCTAAAGACGAAAAGAGCAAGTTCAGGGCGGAGCTCAAGACACCTGCTAGCAAAAGGAAGAGAGAGGACGATAGTGATCAAGAGGAAGATGTGAAACAAGCTGGACCAAGACCAGCAGAGGCGGACAAATCCGGAAAGAAGAAAAAGAAGGCTCCGGGTCATAAGGAACCTAATCCCTTAGCCGTCAAGAAGAAGAAATCGAAGCCTACCGGAAACTCAGATAACCAACATTCGAAAGAGTCAAAGCCCGAGGAAGCAGTCATAACAGAGGCAGATCAGACAGAAGCACCGAAGCGGAAGCGTATACGAAAGCACAAGAGTAAAGGTATTTCTACGAACGATGAGACAACCACTGTGTCCGGCAATGGTGAGGCGCATGTAGTAGAGGCAGAAGATTGAGAGCTGGAAGTCATCCATCCAAACAGACCTAGCATATAGCGGGTGGTTTCTCAGCGTGCAATTATGAGGCTATTGCACTCTCTCTATATTGTGTATTTTACTGGCGTTTGATACCACAATTTTAAGTTTGCTTTCGCATATGAAATAGCATTCGGACATCATAGAATCATAGATGGGCAATTATCACGTTGACTGCCCGATTTAAGAAAATTAAATTCTTGAAATTTGATATTCAAGGCCTATCCTATGTACATAGCATAAGCAGCATGAGGTACCTTGAATAATAATCTTTAACTGCATCTCGACGGGTCTCATGCATGTTCCGTCCTGAACCGATAGTGGGGGTTTTTACGGGGTTTACACGTAAGTTAGGCCATGCTCAGCCTCGTGTGACACCAAACCAGGTCCTTTCTAGTTACTAAGCTAGCCTAACTCGGGTATCCGCGCATTCCATTTCCATGTAAGCATGGATGTAATGTGGTGCATGGGGCTAAAATTGTTGACTTTGGACCTACAGCAGCTACCTAAGAACTATCCGCGCATTCCAATCCATTATGTAGTCTGGATGTTATATTAAATTTTCAATTGTTCCATAACTTGTAAGCACTAATTGCATAAGCTAAGTTTACCGTAACGGTTCTCGCATAACACCTCGTCCAAGTTGAGCACTTTACTTTCAAGTTATTAGCGCGTGGTCGAGAACTATCGCTTCCGAGCTTTGACTTACAAGGGTTTGAATCAAAGTTCGGAGATCCTATCGATTTGCAATTCTGACGACTTCTTTTGAACCACTCTCCGCCTTATTACCGTGGGGAATGTAAATTCTACTGCAACCATATCACGTTGGTAAACTAGCAGAGCTCCAACCGAACGGATAAGATAGGAGCACCGCAAAAGATATACCTACACCGATAAAATACATGCGCAAAAGACGGTCCCATGGCGCCCGTAGGAGGAGCCCAGGAATTTGATGATTTTGGCCTACCTATTAGGAAATATGTAAGCCCCAAAGAGACGGAGCAAGATGGGACCAAAAGCCGACCAATTGGTGAGACGGGGAGCAGCTCTAACGTTACCACGAAAGAGATTGCCACGAAAGAGGTAGAACCCTCATCAGAAACCCCAAATAATACAACCAGCACAGAAACAGCAAAGGGGATTACAAAGGAAGCAACAGATAATACCTTGAAACCCCCTAAAAAGGTCACTAAAGTAGACGGCGTCTCTACTGATAATAGTGATAACGACGACTTCCAAGATGCGCCCTCTACCCCAACACCAGAGCCTGCACCCCAGGCCGAGTCAAAAGATATCGACGAAGCCAAAACGCCTGTACCTACGCAAACCGAATTTAAGGAAACGAGTATATTAAAAGAAGAGCCAAAGGACGGTCCGGATTCCTACGAGAATCTAGACCTGTCACAAAACTCCAAGCGCAGAAATACATCAAGCAAAGAAGTGCAAGCAATTTCGGGGCCGACGTTCAAGCAGATCGAGGCTGATAAGCACGCGGATGAGGCCAAAACAGTCCCACGCATCGACCATAGTCGAGACGTCAGCTTAGCGAGCACGAACCATGACGTTTCCGAATTCTCTCACCAGCAATTGACTGGACATCATGAAGAGAAGAAAGCTGACGACGACGAAGGCTGGCAGGCAATGCCAGCATATGCACCATACGATATTTACGACGATGATAACAAGCTTGTAGCTAAAGAACACAATCCTGAAGAGGATGATCATTATGGCTATGGGGGTCTTGGCGGGGCCGGTAAAGGGTATACAAGAGTATTGGACGACGAGGATGCGGAGTCGGAAACGAGTATGGACGACAACACAAGATACCTCTTTAAAGACGCCAAGAGTACAAGCATGACGGAGATGGACGAAGAGCAGCGAGATGCCGTCTCTCAGCTGCAGGCTACTAAGGATCTATTAACAGAGGGACAGAGGATAGCCTACGTTGGAGTTACTCGTCTAGAACTCTCTGAGATGGTCAAGGAGGCCGAGAGCGTTGAACGATTGAAGAAGATCAAGAAGGAAGTCCAGGTGGCGGCCGAAGCAATGAGAATGTGGTCTCAAAAGATTATGGTTCGGCTATATGCACATATGGAAATAAGTCCTGCCGAACAAGTGATGATAGAGCAGTTAGCCGAGCATGGAGTAATGCCTAACGACCTCACACCGGCTCTCATGCAGAACTCAAGAGTCAAGAATCCAATGGCTGAGAAGACACCGTCGACCCCGAAGACGTCGTCGAAAAGCACGCGGTCATCCATTTCTACATCTCCCTCGGGAGAAGTAGTTGCAGAGCCACCTCCACCTTACGAAAGTCACGAGGGTGACGAAATGCCAGAAGTGAGGACACCTTCACAGTTGCCGAGCACTGATAAGATTGATATCGATTTGCGGTGGACTGTCCTCTGTGATCTCTTCCTCGTGCTGATTGCCGATTCAATTTACGATGCTCGGTCCCGAGTGCTACTCGAAAGAGTCGGCAAAGACATGGACGTCCCTTGGATAGATATCTGCAGATTTGAGAAGCGCGTCACTGATGCTTTGGAAATGCAACAGCAGGCCGAAAAGGAAAATTGGAACGAAGGAGAGCATCTTGAAAATAGGAGGAAGCTCGCCCTCAAGAGGCGATACGTCATGATGGGCTTAGCCACCGTTGGAGGTGGTCTAGTCATCGGTCTCTCCGCTGGACTTCTAGCACCTCTTATCGGCGCCGGTCTTGCTGCTGGTTTCACGACTATCGGAGTTGGTGGCACGAGCTCTTTTTTGGCAGGGGCAGGAGGAGCTGCCATTATCACCTCTGGCGCCGCGGCCTCTGGAAGTTTTATGGGTGGCAAGGCCGCAAACCGACGGACAGGGGCCGTGAAGACGTTTGAATATCGGCCACTGCACAACAACAAGCGCGTTAATCTTATTGTAACCATCTCCGGGTGGATGACTAGCAAGATCGATGATGTCCGTCTACCTTTTAGTACTGTTGACCCAGTAATGGGCGACATCTACTCAATTTTGTGGGAGCCTGAAATGTTGACTAGCATGGGTGACACTATTAATATCCTAGCAACAGAGGTAAGAGATTCCTGTTAATACAAATAGAGAGCACAGGTTAACATGTACAGGCCCTAACTCAAGGGCTGCAACAAGTGCTTGGAAGCACTATCTTAATTGGTTTAATGGCTGCCCTACAGTTGCCAGTGGTTCTATCAAAGTTGACATATTTGATTGATAATCCTTGGGCCGTTTCCCTAGACCGTGCGTGGGCTAGTGGACTTATCCTTGCGGACTCCCTGATTGACAGGAATTTGGGTACTCGACCTATTACGTTGGTCGGTTACTCTCTCGGCTCCCGCGTCATCTTCGCCTGTCTCTTGGAGCTTGCCCGAAAAGGCGCCTACGGTCTAGTTCAGAATGTGTATATTTTTGGCTCGCCCATCGTTGTGAAGAAGGAAGAATTTATCAAGGCTCGTACCGTTGTCGCCGGCAGATTTGTGAATGGGTACAACACAACCGATTGGATCCTGGGCTACCTCTTCCGCCTGACGAACGGTGGCATCCGCCGAATAGCAGGCCTAGCCTCCGTAGACGGGGTACCCGGTATAGAAAACTTCGACTGTACCGAGTTTGTCGTCGGTCATATGGAGTATCGAACAGCGATGCCTAGGCTCCTAAGAGAATGTGGTTGGCTCGTTGAAAGCGATGAGTTTGGCGAGATTGAGGATCCGGATCCGGAGCGGCACAGAGAGCGACAGCGGGAGCTGATCAACGAGATCGAGGAGGCTCGTAAAGAATTGGAAAAGGAAGGGTCCTCCAAAAAGGGTGGCTGGGGTATTTTCGGCCGCAAGAAGAGGACTTCTCGACAAGAATGGGAAGTTTATGAGGATAGTAACAAGGGGTTAGACGCATCTAAAACGGACAATAAGGAAGGTAATAATCATGGCGTCTTATTCGATGTCGATGCGATCAGGGCGGAACTCGCGAAGGACGATGAGATACAGGTTAAAGAGTTGAAGTCTACTTTACCACCGATGAAGCTCGATTTCTCGCCGTCTTCGTCAACGAACAGCCCAAGAGATACCCTCCGCGGGACAAAGAGCTACGAGGGTATTTACAACAGCCCGCCCTTTGAGTACAGGGTGTCTCAAGAACGCACACCAACACTACCTCCCTCCCGGGCTCTCGGCTTTGGCATGCCGCCGCCGGAGGAAGAAATCGAAATGACTTTCGACACGGCGTTCACAGAACACCGCGATATTGCGCCATCCCCGCCCGCGAAAAACTATTCATTCTCACGGCCAGAGATCAAGACGGCGCAGACGACGCCAAATATAGCGTTGGCAGATCCCTGGGCCGACGACGACGACGACTTTGGTAAGGAGAAGGAAATCTCGATGACTTTCGCGTAGTCTGTCTAGCATTACGTGCCTGTAGGGAAGTTGTAATACGTACGTACCCAACGCTTAAAATTGCCTGTCTTGTCTTGTCTTGTCTTTCTTGGGCTGTAGTGGCATACACACTTGGGGCACATCCATCGGCGTTCTTTATTGTTTTGGCGGGTCTTGTCGTTCTTTTACCTGAGGTAGAGAGATCTGGGTCGCCTTTGAGGGTTTAGGCTACATATCTAGGTTTGTAGGTAGTTATGTAGTTTAGTTAGGTGGTATTGTAAACGGCGATGTCCAGACTATGGGATGGATGGGAGGGAGGGTGCTTCGCTCCGGGATGGAACTGAATTAAACTGTGCTAAACCGAGTGAGACAAGGGTTGTGTGCTTGATGAGATAAGACATTGAATGTAGTGTGTTGATTGGTGATATATCGTAAAGTTATGTTCATAGGTAACTAGTATCGGAGCCGTGAGTGATGTATTACTGCGATTTCTTGGCTATGCAGATAACCGTCTACCCTGACGTTGGTGTTTTCTTTACTTGTGAGAACCCTAAGATTACCAACATTTCGAATACTATAGTGGTAGTTATTACGCCTATAATAAGACTATTGTATTTAAGATAGTTTTGAGATTTATGTTGGCTCGATTGGGGTTTCCCTTAACTTATAACTACCTGGATAGGTAGTCAATTGGTAATAAGCTGTTGGTAAATAACTTCTAGGTAATAAGTATACCAAGATTAGATGGGAAATACTATAATTACGTATGTTATCAAGTCTAGTTACTGTGAAACTTATCAGTTATATAAATGACCGAATCTCTTGTCTGGTTCATGAATCGTTGGCATCGGAGAGAACATAATATCAAGTTACCTTAGATAGTCAAGTATAGCGTAACGAAAGAGAAGAGCGTTTTTTTAAAATATATGCAACTCCCGCTCCCGTATCTTCCTCGAATTGTACACATCCTTAATAAGAATCAATAAGAGTAGACTTTTTGCCTAGTATCAACCTAACAGATCATTTGTTTCCGGATGTTATATCGTGAGTATTTTGCTAGAGATCTATGTAACACAAGGATATCTGTATCCCGGATCTTGATCCCTGAAACAGTATTGAGTTCCAGATCTAGCAGTCCATATGTCTCATGCTATTAATAAGACCTGTCTATCCACGATTGTAAAACTGGTTATTGATCCTGCCGTGTCTGTTTCTGGATCCTAAAGGAAGCCCGGGATTGTCTTCTACCGTGTCGTTTCTTTTACCTTTCTGGAAAGCAAGCCACTCTTGGATAACATCATAATGTTTATTTACGATCGTTATTGCGTCATTAGGTATTAATTGATATTGGAGATTTGCGTACTCCGAGCTGCGAATACTTCAACTATTACATATTTCTTGCTTATTAGCGGTGTTGGTCTTTACTAGTTAGGTTGTAATCCTTCTTATGCTCTTGGTTTAATTATTCAAGGAGGCAGTTATCGTCGAATAATTAACTCTTACATTGGAGTCATACTGGACTCTTAATCTCTACGATTTACATCACTATTTCTCTTAGGTCCCGAGCGCAGGTTTATAAGCGGATGTGCTATTCTTTGTGCTGTCAGCTATTCTACTACCCCCGTACATAGTGTCTAATCATACCCCTTCGTAAGATCTTTGAGTGGTTATTAAACCGTGCTGACCCGAGAGCTCTCTTTAGCTTACACATGCGGGCTAGCTCACGTTTAAACTTACGCTGAAGTTGTAATAATGTAACACAATGTAACAGGTCAATTTAGATGCAGCATTACGTACGTTAAGCACTATGTACATGTAGTTTCTGGATCTTACCTGACAAAACAGTATTGGTACAAGTACATAGTTGTACAATTCTAAACAAGATATTTTATAGAGATGTAGTTAAGTGATGTTATGTTATTGCTAAAGTTATACATAACTATATTCCTGTTTGCACATGCGAACGGAGGGTCGGAAAAAGAAGATGTTCTTCGCGGCTTAAACTTGGCGTTTTCCGTCGCACAAAGGTTGGTGGCATTTGGCGACCACATGGGTTTAATATGGCATATGTAGTGAAAAATATGTAGTGAGACGCGAAAAACCTAAATTGTCAGGAAGTTATCGAAAGAATGTGGGAAGGTATCAGGCCTTTAGGGACAATATTGATACCCCAATAGGCAACGGCGGGGACCGTAAGTACGTACGGATCCGTAGACGGCATTGCTATTTTTGCACCGATGGCTTAAGTAATAGGCTGCATTTACTCCACTAAGGGGGACTATGTAACGGTGCTGCTGCGATAGTGTACCTACGTTACACCCTATGTCGAGGCGTCGAGGCGCTAAAAGACGCTAAACCTAACCAAGGGGACCAAGGGGTTGATCAGCCGCAGTCTAATCTTTGTTATTTCTGGCTCAGCCCCGGTTTTCGTCTGACTGTGCAAAGTTCATCTTTATTAAATTGAGACCAAACTTCGTTTCTGAACGGGACTGTGGGAGCGAAGATACACTACATACATACCTCTTACCGCCGATGACGAGATACCCCGGGTTGGTAAAAGAAAAACTGACCAACTAGGTCGAAATACCAATCTATGAAATACGATGTCATCTTCTGTTTTAATATTTTTCATCAGCTACCTATGCTAAAGGTCGTTTTTCAACACGTTGGCTGCTTAGACACTTGCCTCGAATTTTAATCCTAGTCTCAAAGGATCTAGACCCCTTCACCTTAATGAACCCTGTCGTCAGACGGGTAACGCTGTCAGCAAGGGCTGAACCAATCATGAAAATCATGTTGGCTCAGGGTGCGGATCCCGCGATCTCCAAAAAGGTCCCATTTACCTAGCCGCTATGTTCCTTCACCGCAGAGCGCTATTGTCCATCGGATTTTGTTTAATGTACTGTAGACGTCCCTGTTTCGAGGTGGTATGACCCTTCTACAATGCTCACCCTACTTGCCTACTACAGCATTAGCAGTTGATACGACGGCCTTTATGCATTACCCCCAGGGTCTGCTATCTATCTGAGGATATATTATCATCCACCACCGCAGAATTTGGCCGAGAATAGGCACGCGTCATGGCATCGTATATCATCATCGGCAAAGAACGGCTTATCGTGGCTCTCTAGGCTCACCGAGTAAGGCACAAAGTCTTCAGCCTGTCCGGGAACTCGGTCGTATTTAGCATGGTCGAGCTGTGGTTTTTAGGGCATTGGCATGATTCCTTGGGGCATTCCTAAGAAATAGCCTAGCGGGCTGGGCAAAACCGGGGTGCGGCCTCATAAGGCAGGCAATAGTAGCCGGCCATATACCGTATGTACGTGTGTCTTGCAATATCTACACACGTAGAAGCGTCCTGCGTATGTCAAAAAGCAAGGAGATCTCGTGGGATGGCGTTAATCTCTATGGGCTCGTAACTGATGGTGCCATCCATCCTATGAACTAGTTGGTTTTAGAGGCGCAGTCTGATGTCCATTGGCTTACTGCATGCTAAACATGGTTGGTGCACTTGTAACAATAGGTAGACCCGGACCCGCACATCTTCATCCATTCCCTAGCGGGCACAGCTGAGAGCTGACAGGCCCCCCTGCTCCTCTTACTTTCCTTTCCTTCCTCTCACGCCCGGACGATTTTCCTCGTCTTTCCTATCGTTTCTTCGATTTGGATCTTGCTTAGTGCTTTCAACCAAGTTTCCGGCTGTATCATTGGTGCAACAAAGATTCATACATACGAAGGCGAGCGCACTTGGTTGAGATACCCTTGATGTTGGATATGTGCTGAGATTTGGGTATCTGGGCTTCTGGGAGTTTTATGACAACGATATCCCGATATTTGCTCACACGACGATGCGGCTCGATGCCTCGAGATTCGGGATCCTGGCCTCTTTAGTAGGGTTGGTGGGAGCGGAAGACGATGCTTCTCGTACTACCGGTGGAGCTATGTCGGCTCCGACCGGCGGGACGGGAACGGCGACGATAGGGTCTTCCCCGAACTCAGTAATTCAAGTGCAGAATCTTCCGACGCCCGCCATTTATAAGCCGCAAGGAACGGACCAGATCATATATTTCAGTAAGGGGCAAGGTATCAGCGAGTTGAACGTTAGTGCTATCTACCTAAAGCGGTTTAAGGATAAGATTACCGTTGCGATGGGAAAGATGAGCGGCACGAGCCAGACAGGTACTACGGCGGGCTCTTTCTTGGATGGACAGCTAGTAGCAGAAAGACAAGACCAGTTTCCACCTAGCTTTTTCCCGGGTATGCTACAAGACTTGTCCGTCGCCTTAACTGCGTAATACTAATAAAATGGAACAGCAACTAATGAAAGCTTGACTCTTATGCTTACGGGCGATCTTACGCTTACCTACGGCGATAACCTTATGCAGCCTTTATACTACGAGATTCAATGGGAGAATACCACATCTAGTGGTACTAGTTACAGTCCTGTCCTTGCCGTTACCTACAGCCAAGGATACGACGAGGCCAGCCGTCTTATTAAAAATACCGGAAAGGAGTCAAGTCCAGCATTTCAGGAGGATATCGAGGGATCTTCGAGTAACCCAGAAAGTTCCGGGGTGTCGACGGTTACGGCAACGCCCGCTGCCGAAACTTCTGTTCAACAGGCTTCGGAGGCGTCTCTCGGACATCGAGGACTAAGTACCGGCGCTATTGTAGGTATCGCGGTAGGCTGTGCCGTCGTGGTTATCATTCTTGTTGTGGCCTTGGTATGGTTCTTTTGTCTACGGCGTCGCAACAGCGGCGAGCGCGTTGGTGGCACAGATTACACGGCGGCCTCAGGTTCGCACGCTATGATCGCGGATAAAGAGGTGGCTAATATATCGGAATCATCACCACGCTCAACATTCCCGCCTGATCATAGCGGACGCTTACACGACCAACGCGACAGTATAGTGCGCCCTGACGACGCGTCTTATGCGCCCTATTCGGACCGTGCGCCTTCACCGCCATTGCCTCCGGGCGCGGCGTTTGCTACGAATAGCCAGTCAGACCTAGCGTCCGCCGGTCGCCCCAGTACAACAACACCTCCGTTCCAGTCCCGCTACGCGCATCTGATCGAAGAAGGTATGACGGAGGAAGAGATCCGAAGGCTGGAGGAAGAGGAGCGACACCTAGACGCGGCGATCGAGGACGCAGGACGAAATAGCCGCGCGGCGCACCAACCGTGACAGCGGCAAACAGCAATAGCGTAGTGATGTTATTAACAGCCCCTGATGTTTTTCAAGCGATGTGGGAGTTCTAATGGGTCTTATATCATGCTAATTTTATGTGTATGTGGTGGATGTGAGAATACGTAGGACCAGGAGGAAGAGCAAGGAAAATTACCCCCTTACGCGTATATATGACTTCATACTTTCGTTACTCCTATATACCCCGTGTAGCAAGTAGAAGGGATGGGCTTTTCGTGGGGACTGAACTGAGGAACGATGTAATATGTCCGTTCCGTGAGGGTTAAGATAGGTAGTGAGCTGGTGTGAAAGCTTCAAGTCTAACTGGCTTGTATATATATACCTACCTTATATACGGATCTATTGGACTATTTAACTGTTTATAGGATCGTAATTGGGGATATGAATGGCTTTGGGTGTTGGGAGGTTGTATATATTGCCACGTGATTAGCCTCCTTTTGAGCCGTGGTTACGCTTGTGCGACACAAGTAGATGCAACGACGTAGATGTTAATATGGTCGATACGATAGGAACCCTGAATATAACAGTAACTTAGTTAATCTCTCATATTGGACAACATAAAATGAGAGAGGGTCCAACAGTATAGCATCTATCCTCTCGACTGCAACCGTGGAAGGCTGGAGTTAACTTCCTGCGTAGCCCATAGCGGTCTCATATTATTAACAGACAAACAGTACTTGTGAATCTCTTCGCAGACATCGCTAGATTTGCAAATTTCATCAAGTCATAAATATCATAGTATTACATCAGGCTCTTGTCCCGAAGCTTGCTAAAAATAGACAGAAATACACCATGATAAGTAGTAGAATACCTGACGCCCTTCAAACTGGTATCAAAGATGTTTAAGTAGGCCTTTTCCTTTCTTTTCCCCTTCAATAGCTTCGACTCCCTGGGTTATGTGTAGAATGGCGGATCATGAACGGCCAAAGGTGAAGAAGCGGCCGACCATATTGCTCGCGAGGTTGCCTGCGAAGTTGCCCGAGTAGAGAGCGCTGCCGGCAATATTAGAGGCCTGGCTGAACTTGTCGCAGCGCGAGAAGGCGAGGGAGTTGGTGATGGTCAGGGAGAGCGCGATGGCTGTTTAACTAGTTGTCAGCTTTCTTTCCGTTCCTTTCTTCTTCACTATCATTCCGCCACGAGAGACATACCAACAAGGGGTAACCACATGAACTTAAGGCGCACAAAGGCCAAGATGGCCAGAGCGACCCAGAGCACGGGTTGCGCGTAGATGGCGAGCCAGAAGAAGCGACTGTCGGTGGCGTTAATAGTGCGAACCGCCGGATCGCTGCTCTCGAAGACCCAGCGGCTGTCGCCCGTGGAGGGGTCGACCTCGTTCCACCAGCGCAGCCCGACTAGTCGCCGGCCGGCGATGTTCTTGAGGTAGTAGAAGTCGGCAGCTAGTAGCAGGATCGTGATGATGAAGATGAGCACCATGTTATCCGTGAAGATGACGCCGAAGAGGTATACGAGGAGCGATGCTGGGTGGGAAGTCTTAGGTTAGCGTCACTTATTTTATTTTGCTGTATTTCGCTATATATATATATATATCCAAGGTAAAACGTATAAAAGATCGCCGACTTACAGATGCGGAACGTGAGAAAGGTTAGCAGTGTGATGGGATGCGAGCTGAGGCGCCAGCTCAGCACGCCCTGCTGAGGCGGCGCTGACTCCATTCGGGGCGGGTTATGGTTATTTCTCTATTTAGGCGTATACGATAGGAGGGAGGTATCAGGTCAATTGAACATGGCTATTGTCGAGTTCGAGCTCGATGTTATGCTCGTAATAGTTGTATATGCGTTTGTAGTTGAAGCTCGGTTGAAGCTACAGTAGTAGCGGGATGGCGGCGGATAGGTAGAAGCCACATGCACCTGCGCAAAGGACAATCTGCAGCTGCAGCTTGTGTAGCGGCGGCAGGGGGCTGCGTTCTTCCGATATGCTGTCATTTCTATGCGACACCGATTATTGCATAGACTTCCAAGTTACGAAGTTATTCTTATAAACGACCTGTTCGTCTACACTAAGACCTAAGACTCTGAAGCATAACCTCGCAGATTCAAGCCCGACTTCGATTACGATAAATCCAAATTCTTTCTCATTGCTAAATAATTGGTTTAGATATAATAGGACTAAGATACCTAGGGCAACTAGTCCTCAGTATGGATATGCTCGAACTTCGTCTTCGCGACTGAGGTCCAAGCCCCTCGCTATCTGCTCCTCATGCTTCTTGTCCAAGTACTCTAGTAGCACTTCTCCGTACCTTTCCTTCCCCTTATACCGACTCACATCATCCCCCCAGCTCCTTATCGCGCTCGCCAACCGCCCTGGCACGTAATCCTCCTCAGCGATCTCCGTGATCGGGTGGAAGTATGTTCGGATTGTGAATACCACGCCCCCCGTCCGCGGCAGCCGTCGCAGCGTCTGCCTTTCAGAGCGAAAGTAATGGTGCTCAACAGCGCGGTTCTTCTCTGCTGTGTTCCAACTCGCCTCTGGCGCGTCTTCTGATCCGATACTCCAAGACCATCCCAGATCGTCGTCCACTTGCATGAAGTAGTTGTTACGCGCCACCATCTCATCCGGCCGCAGTCGTCGGAAGAAGTTTAACATGCCCTTCTCTAACTTCTCCCGGAACTGCGGTACATCCCCAGACGTGTGGATCTCCGGCAGCGTCATACCGTACTTGTCTTCTAGTCGCCAAAATCCTGGCAGCAAGACTGCACCTGCTAGAAGGTAGTACTGGCCATCCGGCTTCTCGATCATGATCGCTAGGTCGTCTTGTACTAGCCGGGCCGATATTTGCATCGGGTCCTCTGCCAATGGCCGCGTTACGATATCAAAGCTTTCGCCGGACCAGAGGTTGTCAATCCCGACATCCGTCCGCTTGTACAGCGACGGGTACCGCGCCGGCAGGTAGTCAACTAGATCTTCAAGAAGTTCTACCGCAGCGGGATACGCCTCGGGCGCTGTCCTACAGCACTTATGGCCACGCTCCTCGATACGCCGTGCCTTGTCCGCGTGGTACCGTGGGAAGTGGTTATCAAGCTCAATCCAATCGACATGTTTAAGCGAGCGGAGTCCCATGGTTACGTTGTATTTGGGGCCGTACCGAAACGGCCTGTACGGAAGCGGTTTCGTGTGCTCGACTGACCAATCTGGATATGGGTCTGGCTTCGGCATGCGGAAGTCCGATGGAATCCATTTACCCAATTCGCGGCCTTGAGTATTGCTTCTCTTCGATGCCGCCTTCTCAAGTCCTGGTGTAGTTGGCGTAGACGGGCGCGTGCTTTGCTTGCTGAGCCTCTGTCTCCGAATTATATACACTAAGATCGTGGATAATAACACGAGCGCGAGTATGCCAGCATAGATAGATTCTTTGAAATGGTCTTGGGAAGAGAGCCTACCCCAGTATGCCTTGGTCGTAGAAGCGCAGTCACTACTCAACCCCCACAAGCTCTTGTAGTCCTGGCTGGTTTGCCCACATACCTGCTCATCCTCCTGGCCAAACATCGTAGAGACTGCAGATGATTTGAATCGAAACCGACGTCCAATTCACTTCGCAATTCTAGATTGGAAGCACTGGGTCCAAAAGAAGAAGCCGAATATCTAGATATATATATAAGACAGGGCGTTTGTCCATTTCTACCGTTCTCGGCCGTGTCTTATTCTACGACGATGAAGCTAATTTTGAGCCAACTAAGCTAAACCAGAAATGTAGCAACCTAACTGAGGAAATTGGACGAGAAAGCTTGAGACAGGAGATATCTCGGGTTTGAGGCCGACGACCATGTAGGCTCGTTGCTCATGACCGTTCTCGGCTGCGTCACTAGCGGCGGCAGAGAAGATAAGGTGTGCGAGTTAGGAGATAATAACTATAAAACAATCCGGGGACCTATCAGGTTGAATGTGTAGGTCAGTTAGGTAAGGAGATGTTCTCAATAATGCAAGGACAAGCTGGGCATATACATATATGTGATGCAATCTTCCCCGCCGAGGCGATAGGAGTAAGTTGAAGTCGTCCAGTAAGGTTAGCCCCCCTTATCGCGCGTGCCGCCGATGATAAGGTATAAGACCATACACTTTACCCTCTGCAGATCTATCAAGATATATTGAACGTTGTGACTATCTGCAAACTACTTAGGTATATGCCATCTATTTTAGTGTTATATATGAACATAGTGTTATTAAAACTGTTGTAGCTTTTTCTATATCTAACATCTTAGGATATTTTATTTTCATCTTAGCTCTCTAATGTCTTATCTTTGCTCAGTCAGACCAAAGTAAGTAGCCGACGTGGATATGTATATCTATTTTAGTACTACACGTAGACAATACGTGTATGAGTCAATATTCTCCCTGGGCGTAGTCAAAAGACACATACATAAAAGCTACCTACTCAGTAGATCGTAGAGGACTATCTTGACATTAGATTTGTTGCATCGTCGATTAGGCTCTCGTATGTCTACCTTTTAAGAGACATGACTGATGCGGGAAGTAAGTTACGGACAAGATCCAAGTTGCTCTCAACTCACTTTAACGAACATATCTCCATCAGGGCAACAGTCAAGCGACTATGAAATAGGATTCGCTGATGCGAGTCCAGGCACAACTTTTGCTCAGTATGTAACTCGGCCTTCTGCAAGGCTTTGAGAAGTTACGAAACAGTCATGGAAGTTTGATGTTAGAACGAAATTAGTTCTACGTTATGTTATATTCTTGGACGCACCAGACCAGTCCGATATCCTTTAACAACCCTCATGCACCGTGGATGGAACGCACGAAAGTTTGTTGGACGTTCGGCCCATAATCCGGCTCTGGCGGGATGATCCCCTATTTAAATTTTTTTGAACCTAGGCCCCCCCAGCCTCTTCACAACACTATTCATAGGTGCCTCGTCCTAGTCCTGGGCTGCTACCGGATGCGTAGTAAAGGTTGAACGGGTGTCTACGTTGTCTTCACAAAACATCGCAGAATCAGATCGATCCCAAATCCTGAACGCATGTATACAAAAGATATTTCTTGTCCAACAGGATCTTACCGTTCTTCCATGGGCCGGACTAGCCAAGCCGAACTCGAGATCTACACCCACATGCGGGAGGTAACTGGCAATAAATCTAACTTAAATCCAAGCCCTGAAGAGACTTGTGAATGTATTAGAGATCCTGAAGTTTTCTATCTATCCTTCTAGACATATTTGGAAAATTTACGAGAAATTAGAAGGAGATTGTCCCGTCCCTTCAAGGGCACTGATTGCTACTTTGGCCGGTACGGATCCCGGTTCGAAGAATATAATCGATGGGCCGAGAGACAAAAGAACATTAGGAGAAGTGGATGGAGCAAGATCTCTATGGGCGACTACCTTGAACCCGATTTTAACACTAAGGTTTTAGCGAGAAGGCATGCGAAAGTTCCCGTGCTCTGTGTGCATATCAAGGGAATGTCTGGTTTGTTGGTAGAGTTGGATATAATCTCGCAAAAGTGCCGTAGAATCGGTATCTACAGAGTACCTAAGGCAATGGGTCCTATGCTATACGTGAAGCCTATAACTTGGATAATCAAGAGACGGAAGGGGGGTCATTATGACGGTCAATGTCAGTAGGGTTTTGGCATCTGTCTAGGCAGTGAAAGCTTGTTGGTATGCTGACAAGATAGGGGTATGTTGGGAGTTGAGCCAATTTCAGTATTATTTTAGTAATAATTGGACGTTCGATTTCCAAAGAAAACAACCCGAAAGACGGGCACCCTAATAGAAAACTAAAGGGTGGCCACTGTACATCTTAAAAACATAGTATTCCGGTTCGCTGCCTTTCCGGATTTATCACTACCATTACTTAATTCATCGCCGTTGAACAGCTCTCTCATAGACTACGTTCCAATTTAACCGCCCCTGGTATTGACCACTTCCCAACGATGATTTTCACAGTGAAATATGCCTTATACCGTCGATTATCTCTTTGTATCTACCGATATTTGATCTATATAGGAACTATATACTTAGCTTTGAACTTCTTCTAGTAAGATAAACATTCTGTAACTTACATAAGTGGCCTTACTCTACGTGATATTTAGATTAGTCCAACTACAATTAGCTAATACTATATAAATAATAAGGCTTAAGGTAGGCTATCAACTTAAGTGAATTTCACTAGTTACCTATTTTTATCCAAACATGAAGGGATATTATCAAGACATGTATGATAATGCAGCAGTGATATCGCGAAATCCCATCTTAATATTGTTTTAGAGTTTAACGCTGCCTACCTTTATTCACGATGGAGACACTCTGCACGTAGCCTCGCGAATATCGCCGCCAGTTACCTGAAGCCTCGTGCAGTTACAGCAAAAAGATTCAATGCGATTTCCGACCCGTAGCAACCCTTGCCATCTGTAAGGCGAGCTAGTGTCGTGAAACTCCCTCCTCGTTGCCTAGCACCTGATCTCTCAGGTGGCAGAAACCTAGGCAACGAGATACACCTGCCCAAGTACCTACCCCAAAGTGAAGGTTATATATCCTAATTGCAGACAAACCCTCAACCGACGCCCCTCGCCTGGGCGACTTGAGGTTAGAGAAAACCCCACTGTGGTGTCTTATGCTGAACCGTTCTTCCTAAAGAACGTGACTTGACAGCAGATGCCTAACGAAGCCGGTTTTTCGTAGGTCTCGGGTTCGAATCCTCTGCCCCTATCCGAGGGGATTCGAACCTGGGACTGAGCTTTTTGCTTTTTTCTTTTTTCTTTGCCCGCTTCTAATTCCATGTGCTTGCAGTAGAGTTTTAAGAAGCCTTTCTACTTAAAAAAGGTATGTGTCAACGATCTTGCATGCATCCACGATGGCGCACCCTTCTTTCATTCACCCTTACTTAGGTAGAGACTAGACTCATTAGTAAATAGCAGATAGAATCAACGAACGCTCTAGATAAAACTTGCTCGTGTCAAATTTCGTACATGGATAACTGTCGCCACTATACGAAATTAGCTACATCGAAGACTCGATCCAAATGATTGTCTGAATTACTTGGACATCGTAAGCCCACCGAGTGCCTAGCCTATCCCTAAATCGTTTCCGTATGCATCTACCGATAATATGTCTTGCAGGATATTTTTAGGTTCCTCTTCTCTAGTAGAATCGAGATCTCCCGGATATCTTGGCCGTATCGATATTATGATGAGGGGGTGAAATCCGCCAAGAAGTCACCGAAGCCACAACGATATCTCCCGAGCTCATAAGATGGTCGGTCTACTGTCTTGGTGACCTTCATGTAGGTATAAAACGCCACATTGATCGTATCGCATACGAGAACCTGCCACACTTTCCAATAGATTTCTTCGAACATGGCTATCATCACGGGCGGCTACGTATGTACATGTAGGCGGTTTGCAGATGCACTGGTTTTAGTTTTATAGGGTAGCAGTGGAAGTGGCGGACTTCTTCATCTTTCCATCAAATTAATTAATGGGTCGGTATTCGAAGGATTCACGAATGCGCCTCTAAGATGTAACATATAAATCCTCCGCCGTCTCGATCCGAAGTATTTGAATCCTTGTTACCTATGTAGTGGATCATCCGCGTGGGCTAGGAGGCTAATGTATACATAAAACTGCGCGGGCTCTGCCTGTTTGCGGTTCCTCCCGTTGGATCTGGTACACATCGTCGCGATTAAGCTTACTGCATGTCCTTCCGCATGCCGTAATAGTAGGCGAGGATATGATTCTTGCGGGATGCATGAGTTAGATACTTGGAACGAAGTATCGTTGGAGCATCATGCGCTGCTGGACATTTGTGTACCATTGTTGTCTGCGATGTAACGGAACTGAATCATGTTTCCGGTTATCTTATGGTCATCCATTTCTATGATAGCAAGCCTGCAAGTCTAAGACAAACGAGTGGCATTGCTATGGTGGCAATGTGGTAATGTGGGCTTCATACTGTACATACATACCATAGCGGAGGAAGGGGGTTTGGGAGAATGATTCTAAAACTGGAATGGTTCCGTACGGCGCAACGTTTTTGGGTTTTAAGGGCTCTGATTGGTCAGAATTTGAGAATAGTGGGTCTTTGACCCACTTTTAAAATCTTATTTTACAAAAACCGTTCTACAACCGTAAAACCATTCCATCCCATACAATCGTTCCCAAAATGGGAACGATTGCCCGACTTTTGACTTAGAAAAAAATAAAAAAAAATTTTCGAAATTTTTATAAAATTTTTTTTTTCTCTCTGTTAAAATTTTACCTTTTCCGAAGTAAAGGTTATAAGGCTTAAAATCGAAAGAAGTTCCATTCCGAAATAATTCGATGAGATTGGCCACCTCGTCCCATTAGCTCAAACGTTAAAACTTTAAACCTTATAATTAATTGTGGGGTTGGTTACACAAACGCAGGAGCTGTGGGTTCGAGGACCAGTCTTTCTAATTTTTTTGACTTTTTTTACTTTTACCCCACTTTTTCACGTGAAAATCACGTGAATAGCAAAATCGTTCTATTTTACGAAACTATTCCGCATTTTGGAATCATTCCACGATGTTGGAATGCACTAAGCTGATTCCGTTGTTTCCATTATATAGAATAGTTTCTATACATGGAATAGTTTCATATTTTTGGAATGGTTCTCTGTACCCCCAGACCTCCGCTATGGTACATACATACATACATAGCGAGCAGGGAACATTTGCACAGGCCAAAGAAGCAGAGAAGCTGGTACCGAGAGCCGTTACAATATGGTTGGGCGTGATATGTATGTCGAGCCAATGGAGCCTTGATCTTACGTGCATGTGCACGATCATCTCCTTTTAAAAAAGCCTTGTCAAGCCACTCCCGCCTTTAGACTCGGGTATTCGACTCCGGTTTGCATTCCGCTCCATGCTCTATGCAAGTAATACATACCTGTTATGCGGTCGCAAATCGAGTTGGTTTACCAGCCCGACGTTGCAGTACGTTTGGTATAAGTTCTGTTGCTCGCCTCAGCAGGTTCTATTTTCGACAGCGCAATCATTGGTATTTCGTTTCTGGTCCTTAACCCCCTACGAATGAAACTATGAAAAAAATATGGAATGCTTTTTTTCTATTCGGGCCGTTGCGGGTGATTGACTTGAGGAAATGTTTATTTGTCAGATGCGTTGTGAAGTCGTCCAACACTGCCAAGTAGGAAGGTCTCGAGAGTACTGCGGATCATATTGTTTATTGAATTTGGGGGCTATGAACTATGAAGATGATTCGTCAAGATATTCGTTCTAGCCTTAGCCCTTTATGTTGTGGCTCGTTCGCCTTCTAGCGAGGTTGTTCAGCATTCTCACCGCATGCACTCGGCCGTTACCGACAACCTATCATTTCTCAAATCTCTACCCCCCATATTTTAACTTCTATCAAGGATTCCATGGTAGACTTTCCTGTCCCTCTGGCTGCTTCCATTTGAACCCATCCGGGATTTCAACTGCTCTGTCCCTCAACCACTCTTGCGCCGCATCCCAATTCACACACATGTGCATGGCATTAGAATTAGGAGTCGGATTTTGATGCTCCAAGACCCAATCATACGTCACCAAACCTGTGTCGAAGTTACACATAATACTCTGCCTGATGTAGTCTACACAATGTTCAAAATGCCGCTCATATAGCTCTGGAACATCTTGAACCTTGTGTAAAACGTCCGGGAAATAAGTACGATGATGGTCTTGCCAGAGGAAATGTAGACAATGAAGTTGATGTGTTCCGACTGTCGTCACCATGTATCCACCCCCAGCTTCTTCAGGAAACCGGACTGCGGTACGGGTTGAGTGATTGACTTTCTCATAGTCTGACGCGGACACGGCGATCATCCCATATTGCATAATTGAGTGCCAAGCCTCTTCAACGGCTGGGGTTGGTGGACCTTTGAAGGGGGACTCATACCAGAGTGACCCGTTGAACCGGACCGTGATGTAGGGCTGAGTATTCAAGGCCTTGTTGACAGGGGCTGATGAGAAGTTGTAAGTTTTAATCGCTAACATGTGACAGAGGTAGGATGGGAGGAGACTCTGGGTACTTACAGTAGTAATTATGCATGTCCCAACATCTTGCAGCTATGAGGGCACCATCATAGGATCGTATCAAAAGGATCGATAGAATGATAATAGCAACCAAGCTCACAGTATGAGCAATCCAATGGTTCCTCCGAGTCCGGTTACGTGTTGTGCAATGCTTGCATTCGACGTATCCCTCTTCTTTATCATCAGCGGATGCTGCTGAAGGAGAGTCCAAGGAAGAGCCCGAAAGGGGGCGATAAGCAAATCTTAGAGGCATGGTCTCGAGTGATATTGAGATATGAGTTGGTAGTAATGGGATTTAGAAGAGCCACCCGATGGGGTGAATAAGTAGTTGGATAGTGGTAAAAGTGTTGGTGAAGTTTTCCATAAGCACTTATGGATAGAGATTCCAAGCTTGAACCTCGCACGATGATACTCGTCCTAGGAGGAGCGGACTTTGTTATCATTCGCTGCAGTCAAGGTGTTTTAGTATTGCTTAGTATTGCAGGTATTGAATGTGGATCTAGGTACAATCTTGCGATGGATCGTCTATAAAAGATTTGGAGTCGGTTGAATTCCCCGCATCTGCTTACACTATATCTGCTTGCATCTGCAGTGATATGTTATATGCTCAAATCTTGGGCTTGGGATCTTTTCCCTTGAGGATCCTGCCGGTAGTGATCGAGTAATTCTTTTGGGTCTATATCATGAGTATTTGCCGTCCATCGTTGCGAAGATAGTTTGATAGTAGAATACTTGTATTGATGACGTGATGATACCCATTCATATCTCTACGAAGCATATCTCCCCGAAGCTTACAAGCCCACCTCTGCTTACGTGGGATAGGTTTAACCAGAAGGAAACCGTGGGTGGGGGCACAGCATATGCGTTGTAGCTCACGAGATGATGCGATGATCGGGACCGACCTACCTCATAGGTTAGGTTGGCCAGGGCACTGCAACTCCCAAAATTTATATTTCGAACTATTAACTCAAAGTGAACCCTCAACGGAGTCGGTTAGGTCTTGCTCTCCACATGTAAGCCGGCCTAATGTGTAGTTCTCCGCTACGCAGTGAGGGATCTGCAAGTTTATGAGTCCCCGTCGCGATTTCGCCCGTGGGGAGCGGGGATGGGACTTTCTCCTTGGTTCAGCCTTATGAACTAGCGGGTATGGTAACTACCGAACAATACAAGACTGATGAGGTATAGAAATGGTATAAATGAGGTGTTATCCTAAATGCCATTTCGATTAATTTCCCACTTCAACCATCATCAGAATCCGTGCTACTTGTTCCTTACGGATTATTTCGAGTGAATCTACCCTTGCCACTTCCAGCAACTACTCAACCTAGACACTTAACCCTTCATCATGAAGAGCTTCATTCTGCTCTCACTAATCGCCGCGATCGCGATCGCTGCTCCGGCGCCGAAGCCTAATAGTATGCCCCCTAGATTATAAATGATCACTAGTAGCAGATGCTGACTTCATTAGACTTCGAGGCCGATCCCTCACTCACCATCGGAACCCCCGACGACTCATCATACGCGACTAAGCGGGAGACGTTTGAGGCCGACCCATCACTACAAGTTGGGGATTCGGATCAGTCCTCATATGCCGAGAAGAGGGCTAACTTTGAGGCCGACCCATTGCTGCATATTGGAAGCTCGGAGAAGTCCTCGTACGCTGAGAAGAGGGCTAACTTTGAGGCTGACCCATTGCTGCATATTGGAAGCTCGGAGAAATCCTCGTACGCCGAGAAGAGGGTAAACTTTGAGTCGGACCCTGCGCTCCACGTTGGGGATAGTCTTGAATCTTCATACGCTCAGTAAAGGGATCACTATTTTAAGTCTGGCCTAGATAAGGGGAATACTGTAGTAATCACTCGTTATATTCATATTTGAGATGGGTGTAAACTCAGGTACCTAGATTATTCATACATTACATAGGTACATAAGATATGAAGATATGAATACTTCGTACGATGTACAAATGTGGCAAAGGATCTTAATTTGCATTATTGAAAGGACCCACATATATAGCCTTACGTGGTATCAGTGTACCCCACAACGGGAGCTAATGCAACATTATATAGTGGATCCCCGTAGTACCTAGGTACAGTACCGTGTTATGTATTGGATGGCAAGTTGGTCCTGATTGGTATTAATCTATCGAGTCGTACAGAGTAGAAGCTTTTCTCTTGATGAATGATGAGTGGCGATTGATACACAGCATATCTTTACAGAGTTGTTAATTCCCCGACTTGTGGGAGTAAAAGATCAGCGGGTGAATTGTGATGGAGTACGTGTCGTATTACATACTTCAGAATAAGCGCTGAATCATTCCCCGACGTTACTTCTGTGCGACCATCCTCTGGCTGGGCGTGGCATGCTACTTGTGTGACTGGTGGGTTCTAAAGTAAGGGAGAACCAGTCCTTCGAATTTCTATGGGGCTTCTCTTAGTTACTACGCAAATTTCTAATCCCAGCCATTCAGGTTGCGACAAAGCTATCTCATAAATAGTATGTGTGCAACGTCTTGTCGGGATTAGCTCGGTCAAAGGGGAACCACCATGTTACCACCCTCATCCTCGTCCTTCATACGTGCTAACTTCTGGCAGAAAGAACTACGCCTTCTCATGGCCGGACCCCAGCGAATAAATGCGAATGGGATCGGAGTCAAAGCAACGCATAAGCATCCCAGTAATGTACAGGCCCAATCGGTACCTAGATTCTCATACAGTGGATATGTGGTAAGAGGAATAATAATCGCTGCGAAAATATTTCGCGTAAAGACGCTTGACGCTAACGCCGATGCGCTGTAAATGCCGTATGCATCCGTGAGGTAGTTGTTTAGTGCTAGAAACGTGAGATCGATACCGATGCCTAGCGATATGCCTGATAATGCGGGAACGACCCAATGAACGGTAGGTCGAGCAGTCCACCCCAGCCAGAACTCGGATAGAGCGAACAGGGGGCCACCAAGACAGGCCAGTGGAAGTCGTCGGTACTCCTCCTGGAGAGCCCATGGCCTTCCTCTTTCGACGCTTTTTTTATGAAACTTATCCCAAGCTACAAATATAGCAATGGCAAAAATACCCCCGACACCAGTAGGGATAAACATCAAAGCAGAAACTCCACTGGACATGGAATATGTACCGCGGAAAATGACTGGATACGCCCCAAAGTAGAGGAAGTAGATGACATATTGATAGAGGATGAAGAGATCCGTGAAGAAAACGAGAGGTTCCGAGAGAATGCGGATAGGACGTGCTAGAATTCTCACCCGATTCCGAATGCCTAATCGTGTTTTAGTAATGACAGAGGCGGCTAATTGATGCGATTTCGCCTTTGTAGCACTTTTTACGGCGCGGGCGTTGACTACGGGAGCGAACGTTTCGGGTACAAAAAGTAGCATAGGCCAGTTAGCACCAGCAAGAATCAAAGCGCTCCAGAATTGCCACTGCCAAACTTTTGTTGAGGTGAATCCCGAGATGATAGGCCCCACGAGGGGTCCAATGTTACTTGTAAGGCCGAGCATCGTCATGGCCAGACCGCGGGGCCCCAGATCGGGATAGATATCACAAAAAAGGCCGCCTGAAACGGTCTGCGGTGCGGCCGCGCCGCAACCTAGCAGGAAGCGGAAGAATAGAAACACTGGCCAGTTTGGTGCTAGGGCACATCCAAGTGTGAATGCAGTGTAGATGCCGAAGGATACCAGGAAGACCGGACGACGACCCCACGATTCAGAGAGCGGGGCGAATATTATGGGCCCGAAAACTTGATAAAAAGGTCAGTTAGAATAGCTAGCTAATCCAAGAGGTAGTTAGTTATATTATTTAACTTGGAAGTTTACCTACTATAACCAACGAGGAAAACAGCCACTGGCAATGGCTTCTGGAGTTCAGACGTAACACCAAAATGAGCGTTCAGCGTATCTCCCGCTCCACTAGGGAGGGACGAACCCAATGTAACATTGAAGTTCATCAATATGACAGTCGTAGAGATGAACAGTTTCCGCGCCTACATGCCGGCATACGTTAGCATATCCGATGACTATTCGACGATTGAGTGGCGGACGCTTACCGTTGACAGACCTGCAGCCAGCTCGGCAGGAGCCGAACTAGCTGCGACAGGTTCCGTAGATGCAACATGGACTACTACATCTTTCAGCAATATAAACGGGGATATTATGCTCGTAGCATAAGTATAAGCGCACCTTCAGAGCTCTTCAGAACGAGGCCGGATTCTAGTTCGGCAGCCATGGGAATATATGGGAATATATGGGAAAATTAAATCTATGATCTAAGGGATTTATAATGCTCTAAGAAATATAATCTAGAAGATATGATATGAGGCAACCTAAACCACCTGCTTGTTTGTTTGCTAATGACAAGCGGATATTATAGGTTTTATATCCAGTAAATGTACCTGACAAAGCGGAGCCACAAACGGTGCTACACTCCCTTACGTTGTATCTGCGGTTGTATCTGCGGGCCTTTAGGTACTATCAAGTCGAAGTTCCGGCGGTTAGGCCGAAGTGTTATCACCCGCAGCTTCGGTGAAGTACATCTACAATGATAGATCATGTGTCTTCTCGGTTCCGCCATCATGTTGTACCCTGCGCCTCTCCCTCAGTATAAGGAGTGCATAGCAGAGATTTGCGGCAACACCCACCGCCGCGACCGCCATACACGCCGAGTAGCCGGGATGATAATATGGCGCGTCTCTTGGTAAAAATGCGAAGGGAGCCAGTATTCCTCCCGTATTACCAAAGCTGATCATCCACGCTGAACCAATGCTTCGTTGCTTATGTCCTTGGAGATTCATAAGATACCAGCAAATCACTACGGGACCCGCACTGAAGGCACCCATACAGACTAAGCAAAGTCCTGCATACTGTACTGAGAAGTTCGAATGTGTCGTCATCAAAATTGCAAGTCCTGCGATAAGAACAGCAATGGGGAATATGATGTATGGAAGACGACTATCTGTTCGGTCTGACAGATATGTTAGTACCAGACACAATCCAAGCGCAGCTGCAAATGGGGGGATTGAATGCAGTTGTGTTTGGACTACTGAGTATCCGAGCGTCTTAACGATTGTTGGTGTGAAATAGGCGAATGCATAAACCGGAACGACAACACCTGATAGGACTTAGCACGGGATTATTGGGGAGATGCAAGTTGGAGTAAAGACGTACAGAAGTACATTATCGCACCGAGGTAATTCTTGGGATCCTTGAAGAACTCAGTAACATCTTTCCCAGTGATCTTCTGTTCCGAAGTAGTCTCCTCTGCCCGAGTTTTTCTCAGAACGAATTGTTTCTCTCTTTCAGATAACCACTTCGCCTCTCCAGGGAAATCACTAACGAAGAAATACCCTGCGATAGCGACTAGAATAGTTAGGATGCCTTCTAATATAAAAATCCACCTCCAGTTACTTAAGCCTCGTATCCCGTCCATTTCTGCGATGGCAGAGGCCAGGAGACCACCGAACGCGGAAGCTAGAATAACGGAGCAGAAATAAACGGTGAACCGTTTCTGCGACTCTTGTCGCTTATACCAGAAACTGATTAAATAGAAACTCCCCGGGAAGATGCCAGCTTCAAAGAATCCAAGTAAGAAGCGCGTTGCGAGTAGGCCGCTGTAATTCCGGATGAAGCCCTGTCCCAGCATGACAACGCCGAAACAGAAGATGCAAAGAGATAGCCATACATGAGGGCTAAATCGTTTCATTAAAATGTTTGAAGGTATTTCAAAAACAATATAAGGAACGAAGAACACGGCCAGCGCAATGTTAGGTTGTTGACCAGTCAATCCCAACTCCTCTGGTAATCTCATAGTGAGAGCATTTGATATGTTCGCCCTGAAAAGTAAGTCTCCAGGTCAATCGGGGAATTCTCACGCGCACGCGCACGAGCACGAGCACGAGAAACTTACCTATCAAGAAAGGCTGCAACATAGATCAGGAAGAGCATGGGGAGCACGTGGAGATCGATCTTGCGCATCAACTTTGACGCTTCGGCCTCCGACAGGGTGTCGGGGTCGTCAGGTAACGTCGAGGTAGACTCGGTTGCGTCACGGTCTAAGCATTGTTAGCATCTGTCGTCGGTGACAATTAATATATTCAGGTGGCGTACCTAGAGTGCCCATTATTGCTCAGGTGGTAATACACACGAAGGGTTGAGAGAAAAAAAAAAGAAAAAGAAACTTGGAAAAGGTAACCCAACGGCCTCGATAATAGATTGTCTACAAAAGTGCCCGAAGGCCAATGGAGGGAGGGTATCATAAACAACGTGGCGGAAGGATTGAAGGAGACCAGGATAAGTGAGCTGAAAGAGGCAGCACTTCGTTAGATACTACGGCCTCGTTTAAAAAGAATTGTCTCAATGCACCTGGGATTCCGTCTCGGCGCTTTGTATATTACATCTGTCGTGTAAGGCTCTGACTTACATACAAAGCGTTGCATTAAGTGCATTCCAGCATACGACGAGCAAACATCTAGAACGATAATTGCAACTCAGGTGGCATGTAAACCGGACTACTGGATCAGCACGTTGTTCATCTTGTCTAACTATTGCCCGATCGCCCTTGTATGAGTATTACCTAGGTGACTTGCTAATGGGCTATTAATTACCTAGCTGTGTGGGAGGAGTTACAGCAGGAATATCATATATCATCTCCGCGTTGGTACACTGCATATCAGAACGGATGCAAAGACCCATGCCGCCCATGGAACACCTGCATGGAAAGCTGGAAAGGAGGCGTTTATGTATGTACGGATGGTGTCAGCTTTTATGCAATACAACGTGGGGAGGGGGGCTGAATAAAAGTAGGTTCTAGGTAGGCTAGGTAAGGTACTCATTACGAAAAACAATAAGACATAAGCATTATTCCCTACCATGACCATGTGGATGTGGGATTGATTGATTAAGAATATGAATCCTACTGCTTTATATATGCGGTTGTAAATCTCACTAGGCCCGTTCTCTCCTCTCACTCCGCTTGACTTCGTGTCATGGCCCCCAGAATGTCAGAGACCTCGACGGTTCCTACACCCACTTTTACGCCGGCTCTGGAGCCGCCGCCTGGCGTGCAGTCGAATCCCGATCATCCGGCTTCCTTAGCTAGACTCGCCGACATCACGATAGGGATATGCATTCCATTTGTTACTATATTCTTCATTCTACGGTGCTACGCCCGTATTGCTATTAAGCGCGTATGGATCTTCGAAGATTTTATAGTGACGGCCGCGTGGGCAGGCACCATTGCCTACTGCGGCATTATGAGGGCTACCATGTCTCATCATGGTGGTCAGCATGGTTGGGATATCACGCCGGCTCAACTCCACGAAGCCTCGTACTGGTTTAACGTTGCGTCTATCGAATACGGCGTCATGATCGGAGTCACCAAGCTTGCCGTTCTCTGGTTGTATCGTCGCGTCTTCTCGCCTATCCGATGGAGCATATTTGACATGGCCATCGTCACGCTTATCGTTCTTATTACCGGCTTCTACGGGATTACCACCTTCGTCAAGATTTTCGAATGTACACCCCGGGAGAAGATTTGGAATAAGACGCTCCCTGGGAAATGCGTGCAGACCAATCTAATATTAAACGTCAGCGGTGGCTTTAACACGGTGACTGATTTCTTGATTCTATTGCTCCCTGTCCACGCCGTCCGGCAGCTCCAGATGGATAAGCTAAAGCAAACTCTTGTCGTCTTGGCATTTACATTTGGTTTATGGTATGTCTTTCTTTTTTTTTCTCACGAAAATAATGCAGATCCTTGAGTCGGAGAAAGTGTTCGAAACAATGATGGTCGCATACTTATCGCGTACAGCGCTCCCATTTTCGCGACAATCGGCTTCGTCGTGCGTCTCAAGAACAGCGGCAACCCCGATACATCTTGGAGGCAACCCGAGATTCTCTTATGGGGAGCAGCAGAACTTGCCTCCGGCAACCTGTGCGTCTGCTTCCCCGAGCTCGCGTTCCTCTTCCGGAAACGAAACCGCAAGGCCAACACTCCGAATCGCCCGACTGCCTCTCAAGTCAGGGGCTGGAACGAATCGAAAGGATCATCTCATCCACCATCAGACCCATACTTTACCAAGAGTCTCATGGGCACGATGTTTAGCACGAACGGAGATGGGCCGTACATCGAGCTGCAAGACCATGGCAATGATGTGAATGTGACGCCGATGGGGCATCTACCCCACAGAGAGAAGCCGGAAGAAGGTGTTGTAATAATAAGAAATGAATTTACGGTTGAGCGTCAATAGCGTTCCACTAGTGGTAAGAGCTTCCCCGTAGTACTACATGTCTGTTACTTATACCTTTGACAATAGGGGTTCTCGGGATCGGAGTTGGCGTAATCTACACGTAGGGTTTGGTGCTAAGTTAGCATATGGGTCTTGGGAAATGAAGAGGAGGTCTTCAATTGGACCGGATGGGAAACTGCGGGATTGTCTGATGACGAATATCTGTGGCTTTGCGGTGTGCTATATCAAGTTCAGGTCGGTGCTTATAGCTCTGTTCTCACAATGTATATCCTGATACCATAACAACTCTCATTAAGAATCGACAACACTTGTCAGAAGCGGGAATTTGGCATCCTATCGAGTGATATCTTTGGCCCAAGTATATTGCTATGGCCCAAGTATATTGCTAGAATCAACTACAATAAACCTTTCGAACTCTTAAGTTGGTATCAAAGCCTCTGGTATCATGATGATTTGACGGAATTCACCTTAAACACGGGTGCTACAGAAATCCGCCAAGAGCTATTACATTACAACTTAACTACATTCATCACCTATTGCATTTGGCTGGCCCCTAATATGGAAATTGATACCCTCTTTATGTGCTAAGGAACGCCCTGTATAGTCATCGTCTCATCGGCGCCGGGCGATCCTATGGTAGACTCTAAGGGATATTTCTACTCCATCAGCCATGGCTGCTCAAAGCAGCATCCGATAGGGCATAATTACGGATCAGATGATGAGAATAATGTTGTCAAACAATATGAGCCGTGTCCTAAGCCGGTTGAAGCCTTGAAATATCGGACCCTCTACGTACATATTTTTTATCTAGGGAAACATGGCTCCGTAAGCGGACACCGGCGAGCGTATGTAGTCTGGTATTCTACGCTTTGAAATTCTGTTTGATATATGTAAGTGTCTTGGTGGTCAACATAGGGGTACTACCTAGGTTAGGTACTTATAACACAAGATACTTCAATGAGGATGAAGTTGTGATATTAACTTCGACATAGGTTAGCAAAACATATTATCAATAATTGAATTATCTGTGAAAAAAAAAATACTTGAAATAAAGATCGAGGTTGAATATTGAATATATACTATTAATAGCTCTGTAAAGGGAGAACAATCGCGGGTTAGTCATCCGACGAATAATTCTCTTTAATTGATAGAAGTAATCCTAGCACCTGTGTAACTAACCAAGTCGTATCCGATGCCACCCGCCTTGCATGGTTAAAAACCTCCCCTCCCTCCTATTTTACAAAGGTCAGTTACCACAGCCCATATTTGCTAGGATGGTTTTTCAAAGTTTGCTCGCCCGCAGGTTGGCGATAAATACCGTCCGAAGGCCATATTATTGCTCTCGTGCATTGGGGCCTGTCTTGCCTTTTACGTGTTGGTCTCGCGCAGGAATCCCGCTTACATCTGCTACCAACTATTCAACACAGCAACATAAATCTCAAACGTCTAAGTCACTCAATATGGCTAAACCGCAGACTACTTCTGGATCGTATGTCCTTAATCAATTACTATATACTAGTCATCTAAATTAATTTTCAATTAGATATACAACCTCATTCGCCCTGTTTGAGGCGCTCTGGGAAGTAGGTGTCTCCGTTTACTTGTTAGTGACATTAACGCTTACTATGGTCATAAGGCTGGCATAACAGCATGCTTCGTCAATGTCGGATCAGATCATCCATCCATCATTGAGGCCATTGTCAAAGGCAAAAGAGAGCGACCCGACTCTTGGCCTAGGATGATTACGTGCCCTTCTGAGGTCACCGCGATTTCGATGGCCGATGGGTATGCTCGAGTGACAGGGCGTCCGCAGGCTGTTCTCGTCCACGTCGATGTCGGAACGCAGGCCCTTGGTCAAGGTATCCATAATGCTAGCATCGGCCGAGCCCCGGTCTTCATCTTCGCTGGCCTGTGCCCGTACACCGAGTCCGGGGAACTCCCTGGTTCCCGAACGGAGTATATGCACTGGCTGCAAGAAGCTCCGGACCAAAAAGCCATAGTACGGCAGTATTGTAGGTATACAGGCGAAGTTCGCACCGGATTAAATATTAAGCAGACTATCGGACGCGCGCTTCAATTCGCGAGTAGCACACCCAAGGGCCCAGTTTATATCGCCAGCGCAAGGGAGGTTTTAGCTCAAGAAATCCCACCATCGTCATTGGATCAAGCGCAATGGGTGCCGATCGGTCCAAGCGCGCTTCCAGCCGATGCTATCCATGATATCTCAACAGCACTCGTCCAAGCCGAGCGCCCGCTCATTATTACGGGATACTCCGGTCGTGATCGCCGGACGCCGGAACTTCTCGTCGCTCTGGCAGACCTCATCCCCGGTATACGCGTCCATGATACGGGTGGCAGCGACGTGTGCTTTCCTTTCAATCATGTCGCTTCCGAGGGTTTCCGTCTTAGTTCTGACGACTGTAGTAAAGATGCAGACGTGGTCTTCCTACTTGACTGTGACGTCCCCTGGATCCCGTCCCGTAACCCACCCCCGAAGGATGCTAAGATATACCACGTAGATAGCGACCCCCTAAATCAACAGATCCCCGTTTCTTTCTTCCCTGCACACGGACGATGGAAAGCAGATAGTTTTACAGTACTCAAACAACTAGTCGACCATATCAAGAATGATTCTTCACTTACAGAAACACTACGGGATCCCAAGTATGCAGCCCGCGGCGAGGCTCGCGTAGAAGCTCATAATGCCCGTCTAGCGAGTATCGCTTCTCAACCGCGCTTGGGCGATCAAGAAACGCTGAATGCATATAACATCGGTAGTCTCCTGAAATCATCCCTTGCAGACTCCACGACCTATGTTGTTGAAGCAGTTACGGCCGGACAGTTACTATATGATCAAATACAGCCCAGCCGACCGGGGAGCTGGATCAATTGCGGCGGAACTGGTATCGGCTGGAGTAACGGTGCAGCGTTAGGCGTTAAGATGGCATTAGCAGACCTAGAGAAGGAGGGAGCAGAGAAACCGAGCCTTGTGTGCCAATTAGTCGGCGATGGGAGTTTTATGTGCGCGGCGCCATCTACTGCGCTGTGGGTAGGGAGCAAGTACAAGATCCCGATTTTGACAATCGTCTTGAATAACGGAGGTAAGTTACGTCGTGTGATCAACCCCTATCCTCACCCCGGACGAATATACACATTGATTTAGCCTTGGGTTCTGACTAGACTAACACATTTCTCACTCAAGGTTGGAAAGCTCCGCGGAACTCTACGGAACTTGTCTATCCTAACGGTCTTAGCACCTCAGCAACGGACGAGGAAGTCAACGTCTCTTTCCGTCCGACACCCAATTATGCTGCTCTAGCAGAAGCGGCAGCGGGGTCGGAAGTTGGCTGGGATAATGCGGCAGAAAATGCGGACACGTGGATGAAGGGTTTGAGAGTTAGAACGGTAGGCGAGTTCAAGGAGGCACTTCAAATTGCGAGCTTGCGGGTGGCTAAGGAGGGGAAGGGGATGCTCGTTGAGGTATTAATGTAGGAATGTCGGAGGGTATTTCACCTAAACGGTGTAGCTGCCGAGTAGAAGGATTCTTGGATTTATTATGGTAGAGTTTTACTATTGCTGTAGATTTCCTTTAGCGAGGACTAACTCTTGCTATGTAGCTCGTATGCTTTAGCATGAAGACTAAAACCAATGCTAACTCTAATATGCTCGATGATAGGGGGACTAGTGTCCCACTATTTACACGAATAGGGGTTGTACACGGCGGAGTTGTCCCGCTGTTATATGATTAGCGGAATTAAACTTTAAAAAGACTGCAGTTTATTTTATTGGTGGTACTACTTTTACTTAGGAACTGTTCGTTTTTAAGGTGATAGTCTCCTTAGAAAAGCACGCTGCGAGTCAATATCGTAGGAAATATATTCAACTTGCAACCACACATTTAACTCGTGATAATACGGGACAGTTAACTCGGGTATTATATGAAATACCATCAATATATTTGAGACTAGATTACGTATATACCTATAGGATTGTAAGTTTAGCTGTTCCGGTGGATCTCATCTAACAACCTACTCTACCGTATTCCCCTAGCATAGCACATCGGCTCTTCTCATTTTATGTGAGAGAAAAAAAACAGGAAGCACGATGAATCCATTTAGAAATCAGCAAGAAGTGTATCAATATAAGGTAAGCGCACCTAGCGTATCTAGAGTAGAAATCGTGAAAAGTGAGGTCTTGGTGTTTAAAGGCTACCTAGGTACCTAGGTATATATAATACAAGGAACGTTATATAATCAGAATCCTAGTCATGTGATTGGTGGATTTGGCTTAGCATCAAAGGCAGGTAGATCTAAGGGAGTTTGTGCCCCATAGGAAATCGCGTTAGTGTGCAAGCGCCGCGTTCTCCAACATTTCGTCAATTGAGCCTCCATCTTAATCAGCGATCTTAATAGCATTCAAGTGACCCTCTATCATCAACCCGTCGCAACCTGCTCACTCCGGTCCACCTCCTTTTTTTTTGTTAGTCCCTTTATGCGCATTGCTATCTCACAACCCTAACTATGCCTCGGCGACCCGGTCGCGCGGCCGCTAAGCGTGCTGCTGCAAAACTTGGTGAGTCGCTACAATTTTGAATTTCCTCCTCTTGTCGCGCGCGCTATTGAAATTTAATGGCTATCTCTTTAATATATCTAACCTTGGTATCAATGGCGCAGAGAGTACCCCGAGAGCTCTCGAGGAGATCGAAGATGAAGTAATGCTAGATGCCGACGCATCAGATGGAGAACAGCAAGCAGAACCCGAGGAACAAGAAAACGAAGATGAGTCTGGTATAGAGCCCGAGGAAAACCAAGACTCCGATGGACCATCCGTGAAATCGCCCTCCCCTCCACCTCAGCCAGTCATTAGAAGGAGACGTCTAGGCCGTCCTCCTAAGAACCGACCACCGGACTGGGATACCCTACCGCTCGAGACTCCCCAGCGCGATCCAAATGACCCCCCAAGGCGCCGCGGTCGTGGCGGATGGAGAGGTAGAGGTGGCCGGAAGGGAGCCTCTTATCAGCCGACGCAGCAAACGATCGACAAAGAGGGCAACATGATGGATATTGTCGATGATGAGGTCGCATTACCCGAAGACCCCGAAGGAGAGACCAAGGTAGACAAGATGGGAAACCTACAGGGAGGACGCGAGTACCGTTGCCGAACGTTCACTGTTGCGGGTCGGGGAGATCGCCTTTATATGTTGTCCACCGAGCCCGCCCGTTGCGTGGGATTCAGAGACTCTTACTTGTTCTTCACCAAGCACAAGCGACTTTACAAGATCATTGTGGATGACGACGAGAAACGAGACATGATCGATCGCGATATCATCCCCCATTCCTACAAGGGCCGTGCGATAGGAATCGTTACGGCCCGTTCGGTATTCCGGGAGTTTGGCGCGTTGATTGTTGTCGGTGGAAAGCGAATCATTGACGATTACGAAGTTGCCAAGGCCCGAGCCGAGGGCGTTGTAGAGGGCGAGCTTGCTGATCCTAACGACAGGTTCGTCGAGGGC